GCTGAGCGGGTTAGGCGGCTGACTTTGTGTGCTGGCGGCTCTGAAGGTGTGGGTTCGAATCCCGGATGGGACTCAACCCAAGAAAGTTCTAGAATTTGTACTTTACTGAGAAAGTGTAATCCCAAAATATAGCATATGTTGCATTTGACAACTTTCTAAATGGCATTGTGTAATCATTGATACCAGTTACAGAACAACAATTATTCTGTTGCCCACTTCGAAAACTCCCGTTGTATCAGCCTCACTTCTTTCTATCTGCCTTCTCCAGGTCCTTTCTGGACGAAAGAGCTCCAAATGGCTCCTTTTGTCCTGAATAAAGAGCTCCAAATGGCTCCTTGTGTCCTGAATAAAAAGCTCCAAATGGCTCCTTTTGTCCTGAATAAAGAGCTCCAAGTGGCTCCTTTTGTCCTGAATAAAGAGCTCCAAATGGCTCCTTTTGTCCTGAATAAAGAGCTCCAAATGGCTCCTTTTGTCCTGAATAAAGAGCTCCAAGTGGCTCCTTTTGTCCTGAATAAAGAGCTCCAAATGGCTCCTTTTGTCCTGAATAAAGAGCTCCAAATGGCTCCTTGTGTCCTGACTAAAAAGCTCCAAGTGGCTCCTATTGTCCTGAATAAAGAGCTCCAAATGGCTCCTTGTGTCCTGAAAAAAGAGCTCCAAATGGCTCCTTGTGTCCTGCATAAAGAGCTCCAGGTGGCCCCTTGTGTCCTGAATAAAAAGCTCCAAATGGCTCCTTGTGTCCTGAATAAAGAGCTCCAAGTGGCTCCTTGTTTCCTGAATAAAGAGCTCCAAATGGCTCCCTGTGTCCTGAATAAAGAGCTCCAAATGGCTCCTTGTGTCCTGAATAAAGAGCTCCCAATGGCTCCTTGTGTCCTGAATAAAGAGCTCCAAATGGCTCCTTGTGTCCTGAATAAAGAGCTCCAAATGGCTCCTTGTGTCCTGAATAAAGAGCTCCAAATGACTCTTTGTGTCCTGAATAAAGAGCTCCAAATGGCTCCCTGTGTCCTGAATAAAGAGCTCCAAATGGCTCCTTGTGTCCTGAATAAAGAGCTCCAAATGGCTCCTTGTGTCCTGAATAAAGAGCTCCCAATGGCTCCTTGTGTCCTGAATAAAGAGCTCCAAATGGCTCCTTGTGTCCTGAATAAAGAGCTCCAAATGGCTCCTTGTGTCCTGAATAAAGAGCTCCAAATGGCTCTTTGTGTCCTGAATAAAGAGCTCCAAATGGCTCCCTGTGTCCTGAATAAAGAGCTCCAAATGGCTCCTTGTGTCCTGAATAAAGAGCTCCAAATGGCTCCTTGTGTCCTGAATAAAGAGCTCCAAATGACTCCTTGTGTCCTGAATAAAGAGCTCCAAATGGCTCCCTGTGTCCTGAATAAAGAGCTCCAAATGGCTCCTTGTGTCCTGAATAAAGATAAAGAGCTCCAAATGGCCCCATGTGCCCTGAATAAAGAGCTCCCAATGGCTCCTTGTGTCCTGAATAAAGAGCTCCAAATGGCTCTTTGTGTCCTGAATAAAGAGCTCCAAATGGCTCCTTGTGTCCTGAATAAAGGGCTCCAAATGGCTCCTTGTGTCCTGAATAAAGGGCTCCAAATGGCTCATTGTGTCCTGAATAAAGAGTTCCAAATGACTCCTTGTGTCCCGAATAAAGAGCTCCAAATGGCTCCCTGTGTCCTGAATAAAGAGCTCCAAATGGCTCCTTGTGTCCTGAATAAAGATAAAGAGCTCCAAATGGCCCCATGTGCCCTGAATAAAGAGCTCCCAATGGCTCCTTGTGTCCTGAATAAAGAGCTCCAAGTGGCTCCTTGTGTCCTTGAGCACATCTACCTCCTGGGTAAAGGGTGTCCAATTTCCACCCCTGACAAAGTAGGCTCGAAGTTCGAAGCACCACCATCGGCCATGAGGAGTTGTGTCCCTTGTATGTCCCTTCTACCGACCAAACAGATTCCTCCTCCATTAGGCAACCCATGCTTGTCGGAAGTATGGTCAGACATGCTGAGCTAGTCGATGCATGTCATCCTATCCCATGCCTGCCGTCAAGGACTATATACTATTTGCCAGCTTCCGGATACGCTGCAAAAACTCACAACACGAATTATCTCCCTTTTTTCTATACAATCAGAGAGAGTGAGTAGTGGTTTTACGCCGCGTTTAGCAATATTCCAGCAATATCACGCCGGGGGACACCAGAAATTGGCTTCACACATTATAACCATGCGGGGAATCGAGCCCTGGTCTTTGGCGTGACGAGTGAACGCTTTAACCACTAGGCTACCCCACCGCCCTCTATACAATCAGAACACGTTTTACATCGACATATATCCAACTTGACTAATGCAAGCAAATATTGGACAACACATATCCCTCTTCTGCCGGGGACTTGTGTTGATGTGACACACAAGACATTTAATGGCTAGCTTGTCCGTTGTCAACGAGGGCGATGGAGACGCCATTTATCTGCCACTACCTGACTGAGTTCTGTCTAGAAGAAACGTTTGCGCATCGCACAGGGAAAAAGGTTCTTGTTTTCTCGAAGCAAACGGATAGTATCGAAGCCTTACGAATGATCACTTCTTAAACAACGTCGGTGATTGCAAAATTAAATCTGATTGCAACCAATCACGAATCCTGAACATTCGCACCAGGAAAGGGTCGTATTAAAACAGAGGTTCGTAGGAAGATATGACAGGTAACCTCTGTGGGAAGAGAATGTTCAAGCTGTAGTGTTGATGGTACTGCGCATTGTTTTGAGGGCCGTCCCTTTAATTATACGGTCTCTGCTGTGGTCACGCCCGCTGAATTGATCATGGTGTCACCATAGCCCAAGTGCATATATCGATGCTCTCTGGAATGTCTGCCCGGTCAGTAAGCTCGAACATTGCTGGGCACCTTGTGACAAAACAAACTAACGAAACAACAATCAAGGCAGGAAACAAACTAATCATGGAGTATTTATACATAGCATGTATTATTTTACGAATAGTTCACTTAGTCCCATGATCGTGACCTGAAGGTCTGAACATAGTGCTTCCATTGTTTTGAGGGAACAATGTTTGTTTGCTATTCATTGTCGCACTCAGCAATATTCCAGATTTATGTCAGCTGTCTGTAAATACCCGAGTCTGGACATATTGCATGAAGGACATCCGATCTAACGTTGCACTTATTGTTCTTTATTAGGCATGTTGGTTGAGTTATTAACGTATTTAAAAAGTAATAATAATAAGAAGACTATTCTGGAATTGTGAGAGCGCCCCCTTTATAAACATCTATTCTATATATAACAATGTGATGTGAAGGTAAATAATACAATAAAAATATTCGATTCATAAATCTTGCAATGCAACCATAAAATGTTGTGTTAGATGAGAAAGAAACACTCTGCTCTCAAGAGAAGCCTTTAAAAAGGCCAACATAATTAAGAAATTTAGTGAGAAGGACGTGCTGGCATTCCAAATTATGCACTGAACTAGTACAAGTGTGCTCTATTACGTGTAATATTGTCCTGAACTGAAAGTGTATGAGTTTATTAACGTTTTTGATCAGTTAAAACAAAATGTGTTTACAATAAAGCGGGACAATTGTTTCGGAATACCCACATGATCACGTGGCTTCTCATTTGCTACAACTATGTTCATTGGTCATTTGGAAATGCCAAAATACAAAGAGTCTAGGTGTCATTGGCTGAAAGTTCATTGTGAATAATCCAAGTGTATATTGTAGAGAGGAGTTTCACTTGAGAGACAATTTCAGTCTGATTAAGAGGTTAGGGGCCTTTGCAACCCCAGCCAATCAGACTGTCAACAGTTGCTTCACTGTACGTAATGATCGTCCTGGCGATGTGCTGCTGGTTGTGCAGATACTCTCTTAGTTAAAGGTAAGAATTCTGTTTGATGAAGCTACAAGGAAATACACCTACCTGGTAAATTTTACCACTACAAATGCATTTAGCATAACTATAATATTGTATATAGAGACTGACAATGTAAATATTAAGTTCCAGTTCAAGATACAATCATATTGGCAAATCCAAGGACATGTTAATGCATGTGAATATTACAATTCATGCTTTAGATAAATACAATCGAGATTGGTGAGTTTGTGTCTGCATTATACACGTTCACTTAGCAACCTAGGTCTTTTTTGTACACATTCACATAAGAACATATATCCTACCTCATGTAACAATGTCCATCTCTGATTGGTTCTCGTCACCTTGAACATCTTTTTGCATTACGTATGCCCGGTGCTCACCTGTACACCCACGCGAGACATAAATCTTTGCGAGGGAGAATAAATCATTTATACCCCGCACTATGGAAAAAGCATGCGTCCACGGCAGTCAGTGAACTGTAAACCAGTGGTTCGGAACGACTAGTCAGTACCTTGTAAGTGAAATATATGAGTGAATTTCAGTCTGTTTATGCTATGTTTCCATAATGATAGATTTAACCATTCAGTAAGATAAATTCCTTGAAGCATTATGATTCGGGGTATTCGGGTTTTATGTGATCCTCGTTAGGTTTTATCCAACAGAACGCATAAAACCACGTATACCCCTCTTGACAATGCTACAAAGTAAAATGTATATATTATACGCATTCACGTAACAACATAGGTATGCAGTGTACACATTCACATACAACTTATGATTGCATTGTACTTTCGCTGAACAACACAGGTCTAAATTGTGCACATTCACTTAACAACATATATCTGAATTGTACACATTTACTAAGCATCATAGGTCTACATTGGATACATTCACTTAATTTGTCTGAAAGTCCATATTCACATAACAACATCATTCTGAATTGTACACATTCACTGAGCACCATAGGTCTCCATTGTACACATTCACTGAGCACCATAGGTGTTCATTGTAAACATTCACTGAGCACCATAGGTCTACATTGTACATATCCACATAACATCATAGGTCTACATTGTACATATTCACATAACATCATAGGTCTACATTGTACATATTCACATAACATCATAGGTCTACATTGTACATATTCACATAACATCATAGGTCTACATTGTACATATTCACATAACATCATAGGTCTACATTGTACATATTCACATAACATCATAGGTCTACATTGTACATATTCACATAACATCATAGGTCTACATTGTACACATTCACATAACATCATAGGTCTACATTCTACACATTCACCTGGCACCATACATGTGCATTGTACACATTCACCTGACAACATACATGTGCCTTGTACACATTCACCTGGCAACATACATGTGCATTGTACACATTCACCTGGCAACATATATGTGCATTGTACACATTCAATTAAGATCATATATCTGCATTGTTCACATTCATCTAACAGTGTGAGTCAGCACCATTCAAGCTGGATAGGTTTATATATAACCGATTTCAGCTACAGTAGTAGTTCTACAACATCACCACAACGTAAGTGATAGTACAATGAAAATACCTTCTGTAAGTGTCATTTAGAATCTGGTATGATGAAGAGGAACACTTGTTATGGATAGACAGCTTCCTTATTGCAACAGATGCGATGTTTCAGTGTCGACGCTAACACGGTGGTAAACAGATGTGTTTTGAATGTGTTGCCATGTTTCTATTTTAGAAAAAAATCCCTTGAATACAATTATGAAATGTTTAGATCATGCATTATATATCATATTGTGATTGTTTGTTTGGGACATTCCAGCTGGACGATCTATTTAATTGCGTCTGGATCAGATGAGCAGATGATTAACATCAGAGATCAGCTCCCATTAGTTGCCTCTTACCACAGGCATCAGATTATGTAGATAAAACCAATTCTTATTAAAATATTAACGTGGTTAAGTATATTTAATTTCAAGTTTATGTTGTCACCAGTATATCTTGTCTGAGGTGGACACTTGTTTTCATCTGATTGCGTTTGGTTATATATCAAACCTAAAATGACGACTGTGGACATTCACAATGAATCAATGTGTCCTGACAAAATTACATTAACCCACATTTCATCAATTTGTGTCATTCCATCACTAAAGTTAATGTACTAAAACATGTTGATGCCATAACACACATGTCCGCATAAGTGCGTACTCATATAGAATATAATGGGCAGAAAAATACACATCTGTTGTTTTCTTTCTGTTCACACAAATAAATTGTCAGAATTGCCTGCCCTATGCATCAACGGTGTGCATGTTTCTGATTGCGTCAACAATGTCACTGTTGATGCTTCTCCGGGAAAGACTGAGGAGATCTTCTCCTGTGTCTGAGACCAGAGAGAGATCGGCCTTGTGATCCACCAGCAGCTTGAAGACATCAGTATGTCCACACGCAGCCGCCATCATCACCGGTGTCCAGTTGTACCGTCCTCTGACATTGATGTCATAGGACGGGAGCAGGAACCCCACACAGTGTCTGTTGCCTCCTCGACAAGCCAGATGGAGTAATGTGTCTCCAGACTGGTCTTTTTGTTTCAGTTCAGGACTGTTTGATCTGTACATCTGCAGATAACATGACTCCTTCTTCACAAGTGACTTCATCAGTTCATTCCATGGTTCGACGTTCCTCTCTGACTTTCCCTTCGGTGGAAGTGTTTCTATGATTTGTCTGCAGCCTACTTTAAGTGCAAGGCTAAAGGCGTCATCCCCTGTGTTGTCAACTAGAGACAAATCCGCGCCTTTTCTTTTCAAGTAGTCAAATATTTCCACTTTACCATACAATATTGATGTCATGATGTATGTTAAACCAGCCTTGTCTTTAGTGTTTATATTGAACTTGTCTGAGATATGCTTCACAATGTCAAGGTGACCGAATTTGCACGCAAGATGTAGAAGAGTGAGTCCATCCTTGTCCACCAGAGTATGGTCAGCATTCCGGGACATCAGGAACTTCATCACACTCATATGACCTCCAACAACAGCTCTCATCAGAGGAGTGAAACCATTCTTACCCCTTGTGTTGATACCAAAGCTGCCAATGACCTTCTGAACAAGGGCTTTGTTTCCACCTTGACAAGCTGCATGAAGAACATTGTCATTCTGTGGAGTAGTCAAAGATGGAATACCCCTATTTGCTGCAATCAGATCATAAGCATCCATCTTTCCACTGAGAGCTGCCATCATTATTGGCGTCCATCCATCCTCTCCAGGGCCGTTGATGTCAAACTCGTTTAGGAGTTGTTCTATGATGGATCTGTTGCCACCTTGGCAAGCGAAATGGAGTACATTGTTTGTGTAGTGATCAAGTAGTTTCCTGTTGGCCTTTTCTGAAAGAAGTAGGTTGAACACATTCTTCTTTCCAGCCCTGGCTGCATGCATTATTGGTGTAAGGCCGTTCTGTCCTTTGAAATTGACATCAATATTTTTCAGAAGATGTCTTGCAATGGCTGTGTTCCCTCCTTGACATGCAGAATGCAGCACGTTATCCCTGTGGCCACCGGTCAGTATTGGGTCGGCTTTCCCTGACGTAAACAGGTCAATGACACTTGTTCTGAAGCTCCTATGATCATCCTTCAGTTCAGCCCCCTTTGACACAAGCAGACCATACACGTTCTTTCGTCCACCAACAGCTGCATACATCAAAGGTGTCCTGCCATCTTGTCCACGACTGTTGATGTCAAACTCTTGAAGAAGATGCTCGACGATTGTAATATTTCCACCCTGGCATGCAAGGTGAAGCATGTTGTTACAATGGCCGTCAGTCACAGTGAAATCCACTTCTTTCGCAAGAAGCAGGTTGAAAGGGTCTAACATTCCAAACCGAGCTGCGACCATTACGGGGGTCCAGCCATGTCTTCCACGGTTGTTGATGTCAATATCAAGTGGCAATGAAAGCAAATAATCTACGATGAACCTGTTTCCACCCTGACATGCAAGGTGAAGTATGTTGTTCCTGTATTCGTCGGTGAGAGTAAGATCCGCTTGCTTTGAAACAAGTAACTTGAAAATATTTCTGTTTCCAAACTCAGCAGCCAGCATGACTGGAGTGACCCCATTCCTTCCCAGAGCATTGATGTCAAATCTGTGAAGAATATTTTGAACAATTGTCGTCCCACCTCCCTTACATGCAAAATGCAGAACATTGTCTTTGTAGTCATCAGTTATGTACAAGTCGGCGTTCTTTGAAAGTAGAAAGTCGAAGATACTCTTATTTCCAGCACAAGCAGCCTTCATTATTGCTGTCCTACCATTATCTTCCAAACCGTTCACATCAAAATGTGGTAGGAGTCCTTCTACAATGGACATATTTCCACCAAGACAAGCCAAATGAAAAACAGAATTGTTGTTTTCATCCTTCAGTGAAATATCAGCCCCCTTTGACGCAAGCAGGTCAAACACTTCTCTCAGTCCATTCACAGCTGCATACATCAAAGGTGTTCTACCCTTATGTCCACGATTGTTTATGTCAAATTTTGGAAGCAGATCTTCCACGATCAACCTGTTTCCCCCTGACATGCAAGGTGAAGCAGATTGTTTCCGTGATCGTCAATCAGAGTGAGATCGGCGTCTTTTGAAGCAAGCAGGTTGAAAGGCTCTAACTTTCCAAAGCGAGCTGCAGCCATCTCTGGTGTCCAGCTATTCTTTCCTTTAATATTGTTGTCAATTCTTTCCAGTAAATATTCTACAACAGATCGATTTCCTCCCGCACATGCACAATGTAGGACAGTGTCATTGTACTCGTCAGACATTGTAAGATCAGCTTTTTTCGACAAAAGAACGTCAAAGACAACACTTTGGCCTGCAGAAGCTGCTTTCATAATTGCAGTTCTTCCATAATTGTCCCGGATATTGATGTCAGATTTTGGCAGCAGATACTCCACAATGGATAGGTTCCCACCTGCACATGCTAAGTGAAATACAGAGTTGCTGTAGTCATCCTTCAAGGGTAAGTCAGCACCCTTAGACACAAGCAGGTCAAACACGTCCTTCGAGCCATTGGCAGCTGCATACATAACTGGCGTCCATCCTTTATTCCCACGACTGTTGATGTCATCCGTTGTCAGTAGATGTTTCACAATGGAGACATGTCCACCATGGCATGCCAGGTGAAGGATATTGTTGCTGTTGTCGTCTTTCGGGTAAAGATTAGCCTTTGCTTTGTCCAGCTGGTCAAATGCATGTTTTGATCCATTGACAGCTGCCTTCATTAGAGGCGTCCAACCCTGATTTCCTTGAGTATCAGCGTCAATCTTTGTTAGTAGGATGTCGGGTATGTCATCAATGAGGCAGGCTAAATGAAGGAGACTGTTGTTATCATAGTCGGCCAATGCCGTGTCTGCATTTTGTGACACGAGAAGGTTAAACACATCCATCCTCCCTGACAATAGAGCACACATCACAGGCGTCATGCCATGTCTCCCATGACAATCTTTGTCTGTTGATGGTAACAACGAATTAACAATGGATTCATTTCCATACATACATGCCAGATGAAGAACAGTATTGTTGTTGCTATCTCTTAATGTTAAGTCAGTTTTCTTTTTGTGGACAAGATAGTCCAAAATATCATTCTTACCAGAGAAAACTGCACACATAATTGGTGTCCAGTCATTCATTCCTCGGCAGTTAATATGCCAAGCCTTACTCTTTTTCAGCAAACTTTTAACTATTTTCACAACCGAAGTGTCTCTGTATTGACAAGCCAAATGGAATAGGTCATTGTTCATAGAATCAAGTAATGTGACATCAGCTTTATGCTTAACAAGGAGATCCAAAGTGTCCATCTGTCCACCAGCAACTGCGAACATAGCTGGCGTCCAACCATTCACAGCACGCCTGTTGATGTCACAGTTGGGGAGGAGTCGTTTTATGGTGTCATTGTTCCCCAGGAAACAGCAATAATGGAGAATACTGTACTTAGCATCACATGACGAAGCGCCTTCATCTCCAAGCATTTGTTGCACTTTGTCTGCAACTTCCTTCCTTTTCCACATGGGATGCATGATGTAGTTACTGAACGTGCCATCAGCAACAGCTTCAGCCAGTCTGGCGGTGATGACGTCACTGTGAGCACCGGGGAAATAAATGACAGTTTGTTCTGCTGGAGCGGTGTCATGCTGCTGATCACGTACATGGTCACAGATGAACGCTAAACTACAGTTATGGAGGAACAGCTCTGGTTTAGTATCCAATATGGCAGACATACACATGTCTTGTATTAGAGGATGGGAACAAGAGACAAGAACTAAAACATCCCTTAGGTGCGTGTTTTGTACTTTGTTGTCACATTTAGTGTGGAGTTCTGATTTTCTGTGTTTGAGTTTCTGTTCACTGCCACACAGTGATGGTAAAAGGAGTTTCAATGACGTGTCATCTAACTGACTAACGTTCACATCAAGTTCACGTTTAATATGGTAAACAGGCATCTCAAAAAACGATTCTTTGAGTTTTTGAAAGGGCACGTGACTAGAGAAAAGTTTGCATGTCAATGGAAAACCAATTATTTCTTTGTACGCAATAATCTTTTTCACGTCGACATTTGTTCGACATTTGAAATAGCTTTTGTGTTTCATCCATATGGCTTTTTTCTCTTCATCTTTCAGTTTGGTCACGTCAACAATAGACCAGTCTTGGAAAAAAATAGGGTCTTTAAATTTTGACATTGCACATTGAAACCTTTTGGTATCTGTGGTGAATATGAAATACAGGTTTGTATGGTCGTTGCTTCTATGTTCGGTTCCTGGCGTCTGCTGCAGGTTGTGGTATCGTCTTTCCAATTTGCTTGTCCAGGGTTCACGATGTATATGGAGCTCATAGAGAACTTGTCTTAGGCGATGTACGTCCATAGATGGCCCAACGTTTTGAAATACGTCATCGAATATGACACATACGTCTTTGCTCTTACACAGACACTCAGACAACTGGAAAGTACCAACGTCCTCAACCAGTACCACTTCATACCCATGTCTCCTGTATGCAGCTCCTAACATCAGGGCCATGGATGTTTTACCTTCTCCTGGACCACCGCTTATTGTCACGTGGCCAAACTTTTCCAGTTTTTCTTTCACCTTGTTTAAACTGTCGGTTTCAACGAAGATGTCACTGATACCCTTCCTCAGCTCGTTTGGCAAATCTGTTCAAGTAAAAACAAACACCTGAAGTAAAGTCGTGGCAACTCAGCAAATTATACCTTCATTTGGAAATTGCGAGAATCACCATCACACACATTTCCTAAGATTTACCAATGATAAACCAATGAGTTTACCAAAGATTTACCAATGATAAACCATTGTAAATATCAAACTCTGGAATACAGAATATGTGAATATTTGCAAGTTGTATACCAACAAATACTTCTGACTCACAAAAGCAAAGTGTAAAAGAGAATTCAATTTATACCTGTCTGTAGTATAAGAGTGCCTTGTGTTTCCTCATCCTGTGACGAAGCTGCAAAAATAATATACACTATGGAGTTACAGAATATGTCAAAGTGTGTTAAAGTATAACACAGAATTTAAGAATAAAACATTTACTTCGACAGTTACCGTGTCAATCAAAGCCAAAAACGTGTAACAAGATGTCATTTTGATGTTCTCTTCTCACAGAAGATCATCGATATACTGGAAGGTCAATTAACATGTAACTTACTGTTCTGAGCTGGTGCAGACTGCTTCTCCATCAAAGAAACTGAAATGGTATTTGGCAGTCAAATTAAACATATTTAACAAATATGTAGTTATAGGTTTTGATAAATGATTATTTCTATGTCCCACCTGACATGCACATTGATAAAACACGTTGATGGTTCATTTGTTTCGGATATCATGACGAAGCTGAAGAAACATGTGGAGCTTGTGCAAAAATGACACAATAATCCTTTAAATCTATCTCGAGAAAAATTGAAATTACGTTTATGAAATAATTATGGGCATAACGATGTTCAAGAAACACCGAGAAACAGTGACTTGTTAATCCTGAAACTACAGGATCTTGAATTCAAGTTTGGAAATGAGAAAATAAACCCACACTGTTATGGCAAAAATTATGCGTTGGAATTATTTTATGTCAAAACATATTTTGGTGCGAAACTAAATTGGTCTACATTTTGGGACAGTTAGCTCCAGCCAGGGGCCATGAGTTGACGCAGGACTAGAGATGTGAGCACATGGCCAGGGGGACTCCATGTAATGGTGTTAGGTGTGGACTTGGATTTGGAGTGTTGGCTCTATATGTTTAAGGATTTGAGGACCTGCATCATCATATATATTAATGTCAATCATTCAAGGACTGATGAAGAACAAAAGTCAAGTCAACTGTATTGAAGGTATTGACATTTTTTGTTGAAGAAATGCATGACATGTGACTTTGAAGTTGAACTGAATTTGAATTGAGTATAGACGTGTTAAGAACTGAGCAAAGGATTTGGAAACTACACACACACACTAAGCAGAAATCAGTCAAAAGTCATCGAATCAGCCTGGAGCGGTGACTTGAAAGATAATACTGCGGATATTTGTTGTGCTATATACGAAACAGTAGGTGCAGTCGTTATGCTATATGATTACAATATGCTATAAAATTTGTCACATTCCAGCTATTTGTGTGTTTACATGGCAACGTTAGGTCGAATCTTTGTGCAAACGAAATGGTTTTGAATAAAGTATACTTACTGGCTTCATCAGAACTGCAACGAAAAATGTGCATTTGACTTACAGAATGTAATAAGTAGTTTTTTACACTAATTATTTGGGCATCACAACTCTTGAGTTACGCTTTTGTGTTTTAGTTATTCTGAAGATTTCACAGAGTACGTTTCCTAAGATGCACTTTCACATGTTTAAATGTTTAATAAAGAGTATTTCCTTACCGTCCACGTTTATCCGGCTGACCTCTAGGTGTTCTTATCGATTTGCGCTTCCTTCTGTAAAAGTACATGTGGCAATACTGAGGCAAGTGTTTTATATATTATGCATGGACATCTACACAGAGCTTGTATGATAACATTTACCATGTTTCCCAATATGTGAAATATAGCATGGCCCCTGACAGGTAATACATATGGCAGAAACTGCCACTTTATTTATTTTATACTCACAACTTCTTGTAGAATATGTACTTACAGTCTGAACATCACCACAGCAATGATGATAATGACGATGATGATGACGATGAACACTGGGACAAGGATCGCAGCAAGATTCGTCGGTTGTGCTGAGTTCGAGTCAGAAGGTGCATTCGTCGGTTGTGCTGAGTTCGAGTCAGAAGATGCTTTCGTCGGTGTCTCGGGAACAACTGTTACTGCTTTTGATGAACAAGAATTATATGATTCACATAACAGTACCTTAAATGTATCCACTGGATGTGTATCAAGATACAAAAACACAACACAGATACGTTATACAGTATTGGCTTCAACACCTTAACCGTTTTACATGTTAAAGTTTGTTGTTTTACCTTTACGCGATTACCTACCCTGCATACTGAACTACATGAACAATGACTTTCATCAGCGGTGGCTTCATTTTGCACGTTATCAATAAATTACATGAAATAAAACCCTGCACTGGTTACACCTACTTGGGTTGTCAGTCCAGATTTGAAGAGGTCATCATACGACGATGTCGTATTGGCCACACAAGATATACTCAAGAATACCTATTAAAAGGTGAGGATCCTCCATTTTGAATCCCTTGTGATGAAAGAATCACAGTCAAGCATGTCCATATTTTATGATGGTAAGTATAAATTAGTAACTGTGATTGTTAGTGACTGTATCCTCGAAGGGGGTTAAAGTATCGTAAAATTATTGTCCTCCTGAGAGGGTACGTAAGTCCCAAAACTTTCAAAGTTAAATTTTTGCTTACCCGATTTTTAAACGTAGTATATTTGTTCCTTTACAATTCGGCTAAACTTTTCCTACAATCGCCAACGGCTGAAGGGATGGTGTAAATCCAACTAGGGTCCATGCAGGTAGCAAAGGTACAGTAAGTCCCCATGGATCCTAGTATGGTGATCTACCTTCAGTTGTTGGCGATCTATGGCCTGTTTTTATCTTGTATTGTCCTAATTGTGCTATTAGTTTGAACTTTTTACACTAGTTTTAATTGTATTTGTGATATTCTTGTTGTTTAACTGTCATTCGATGACAGGTTTTGATAGTATACACATTTTCCATTTCAATGTTAAATATGTTCTCGTCACGATATGGCTGAAATATTGCCGATGTGACGTTAAATATTAACTCACTTACTCACTCACTCATTTTGCACGTGGTGGACTGGCATAAGAACACGGTCTATGTATTTACACACAATGCATATCCAATACAGAGTTCATTTAGCTCTGCATCAACCATTACGAATTCAAATCGTTTCAGTCAAACCTTTCCTAATGTTGCAAAGCTCCCCTGTGTAGTTTCCAGTACATCCATGCGTGCAGATGGCATTTTGACGATTACAGATGTTTCTCAAGCAGTTCTTGCCACAGGCCTTGTCACAAAGATCGTCAAACCAGCCAGGAACACAGCCTTCAGAACACCTCCCTGTCTCCTTCTGGCAGTGTTTCAGCTTTCGTACAGGGTTGGAAAGGCAGGTGGATGGACAGTCTTTGTTGCAGTTTTCTCCGTACTTACCCCAGTCACAGATGTTTTGACAGTGCAGAGATAATACTGAAAAATCGAAATGAAACGAACGGGGTCGAACCACATTACAATACGGTAATATTTATGATGAGGCTACATTCTCACTCCATCCATATGATGATGAAAAAAGCGGGTTCGCGCACAACTCGCACGGTCTAACTAAATTCAACTAAATGCCTGCTTCATAGAAAGGATTCGCATGGTCTAACTAAATTCAACTAAATTCCTGCTTCATAGAAAGGATTCGCATGGTCTAACTAAATTCAATTAAATTCCTGCTTCATAGAAAGGATTCGCATGGTCTAACTAAATTCAATTAAATGCCTGCTCCATAGAAAGGACTCGCATGGTCTAACTAAATTCAATTAAATGCCTGCTTCATAGAAAGGATTCGCATGGTGTAACTAAATACAACTAAATTCCTGCTTCATAGAAAGGATTCGCATGGTGTAACTAAATTCAACTAAATGCCTGTTTCATAGAAAGGATTCGCATTGTGTAACTAAATTCAACTAAATGCCTGTTTCATAGAAAGGATTCGCACGTTCGCAAGCAAACCATTGAAACAGTGTTTGTTATCAGAAAGAAAATATTGGATCGTGACAAAGATGTGGGTTATAAATATTGATGCAAGAGATGGAATAGGAAATTGTACCTGAATCGATTGTTGGCTGCTATAATCGTTATGAAAAGGAAGAAACAGCTTGTTATACTTGGGCGCTAGGTATTTACATTAGGTCACGAAGTTGCTGACAAAACGGCGCACGCACGCACGCACGCACGCACGCACGCACGCACGCACACACACACACACACACACATACATACATACATACATACATACATACATCCATACATACACTGTACATACATACATACTTCCCCTATTCCCCTATTTTAGTACTCACTGAATATAAGTAGGGCTTGTAAGAGTATCAGCATTGCTCGAGATGCCTCCATCTTGTAGTGTCTGCAAATAAAAATAAACAGTTAGGATGCTCAGGACGGTGTGTTATATCGACATGGTTCCTAATATGGTAATCTGCCTTCATATAATGGGGGTGTCCTTTAAAAACAGCCTAAATATAAATCAAGTAATCCAAATCTTTGAATGTTGACTATGACGGGAAGTCATCCAATACTATACTGTACATATTTTATATGATATTATCTGAGGGCATACCATTACCCAACAGGTACGAAATGACAGATCGTTTTTCACTTTCTGCAATTTTTTAAAGAAATATTATACCCCATTGAGTTGTGATGACTAATATCTCGTTAACCACATTATAACCATACGTGAAATTTTGGATACGGCTTTGCTAATGAATCCTTCAAAATAAAATGGAAGCTTTCCTAACATTGGACATCGACAGTATAGTTAGGCCGACTACTTTTGGGACGTCCGTCGTATAACCTATCGCCAACAGTAATCCGGCTTACTACTAGGCTTAGTCAGGGTCTCATGATACTCACTCACAATGCCGGTCTTCTGGTACCTTGGGATGTAATGTGATATGAGAGGCAACGGGTAAAACACAGACAGACAGACAGACACGCACACAGACAGACAGACAGACACACACACACACACACACACACACACACACAGACCCACACGCGCAGACACACACACACATACACACAGAGAGAGACACACACAGACACACACACAAACACACAGCGGGCACACACACGCGCGCGCGCACGCACGCACACTAACACACAGATATACCCAAGACAAAGGTGCTAGATACTCATTAAGTTCCTTGTAGCACGTTCCAGATCATTCTGTCTAAATCTTCAAGTCTAAATATAGCAGGAACTGCCCGCCCCCTGATACTGAATCTACAGCACTGGTACAATGTATAGCAGTTGAAATATTGTTGTACCACATTGCCTGAATACAATGCTCTTATTTATGCGAAGTTTTATCGATAAATAAAATATATATATCGTAAAGGAAATTGTTTCAGAAACTGAAACTCCAGTCTGTTGAAAATGAATATTTTGACAACGAGAAAGTCCTTGGGTTCATAGTTTCAATACATAATGCAGGGGGCTGTGGGGTAGCCTAGTGGTTAAGGCGTTTGCTCGTCACGCCACGCCAAGCCGTTCCTCATCGCTCCGCTCCTCTCCTCTCCGCAACGCACCACAACGCAACGCAACGCCCGTTCCACTCCACTCCGCACCCAAATGCATCACACCGCAGCGCTCCGCTCAATTCCACTCGACTCCTCTCCACGCCGCTCGTCCCCTCTCACTTCCAGTTCATTCCTCTCCGCTCCGCTTTGAGTTGTTACCATTCAACTAACACTAAACATTATTACCCTCCACAAAAGTTACGCTGACACGAGATAATCACTATGTGGGGCAGGGTGAGTGCATGCTCAGAATTCAGCACACAGTCCCTCTTTAACATAATTATTGCTAATACTACAGCTATTATATCTCGTTGAGTTGTACCACCCTCTGTGTGATTGTAATATCTTGCTCTGATATGCCTAGACTTGTAAACGTAAATAATGTTTTAATACAACAGTTAATGTATATTATTCTAAATATACTTTTGGTTTCATACTTTAACATTTAGATCAGTTCTCCCGCTTCAACGTTCACATGTACCACCATTACGGAATACATGTTCGTTGTCTGACAATGGCACCAAAATAAACGAGTCAAACAAAACATGCAGTCAATCGATGGGACACTAACTGAATATTCTACAGATATCCGTTAGCAGATATGCGGCATATTATATGGAGATCAAAAAGATGAAACACATAGCTCTCAGTATTCACTAAACATGAACACACAGCAAAGGTTAGGCTGACACGAGCTAATCAATACATAAGCGAGAATGAGTGCTCGCTCAGAATAACTACATGCATATATCCACGGTTATTCAAAATACATGAACACACTCAGTATAACTGCACCTAGAACCTCACTGTCACTGGCTTGAAAATTTAACTAACTAGTATATGTAGAAGGACAAGGAAACTATTGCATGTTACAATATTGTAGTTTACTAACATACAAGGACGTCTGCCAACATGTAGTCCCACACGACGTACTTCGCTTAAGATAAAACAAGAGAGTTCATTGTGTGTAGAAGGCAGTCTCGTGGTCAGCTTAAAATACTATTGAACACGTAGCAAAGTTCAAATAGGGAATGATTTGGGTTATGCTGAAATGACTCGTCATGTCCAATATGGAACCATTTTAAGCAATACCAGCCCCAGGACAGCGTTAAGCTGGTCAAGTAACGTTTCCGTTAAAGAGTCATAAGACGATAATGCTACCAACTAATCCCATTTCCATTAATATTTGACAGAACTGATATTTATAAATATGTTATTAAATACATACACGTTAAATATACATTAACTGAAGAACATATGGAAATATTCAAGATAATGTAGATCGTCAACTCCAAAGAAACATTTGGCCTCGGTTACCTCCCTTTTGGAACCATATTTCCTTGTGCATAAATGAAAACACGGTAATCAGAATTGTTTAAAAATCAGTGTTTCGAGAAAAGGGTAAACATACTGAGCTCTCCCTGTTGCAGCCGCAATTAATAATTTGTATACATTCCATAAAGACATTCACAAAGTTAGTTTAAAGTACATTCCATTCACGGGTAATTTAACACTGCCTTTAAAACAACGTAAGCTGATTCAGGGCGGATAGATAGTACAGGGCAGATTTACTACATCACCTGGAAACATTATAATGTTCAATTTCCAACTACAACTTAGCCCTACTATTTATGCTCAAAATACTTCAATGTGAAACCAACACACAGAAAACAGATAATATAGATTAATAAGTGTATTGTAGAATCAACTAATAGTGGCAGTACAGTTACATTGGCAGTATACAAGAGGGTGACAGTACAAATTTCAGTGGCAGTTCAGATACACCAGAAATGTTATATCACCAGTTTGGTTTTACGCAATATCACCGAGGGGGGGCACCAGGAATGGGCTTCACACATTTTACCCATGTGGGGAGTCGAACCAGGGTCATCGCTGTGACGAGCGGGCGCTTTATCCACTGGCCTACCCCACCGCCCCTACACCAGAAATGGGCTTTGAACGTAGTATCCGTGTGGGGAATCGAACCCTGGTCTTCAGCGTGACGAGCGAACGTTTTAACCTCTAGGCTACCTCACCACCCCGATTGTGAGATGGAGAAGCAGTCTTCTTATCCAGTCACGTCTTCCCCCAAGCTTCGGTAACTATTCTCTAATACAACCAATATCGTAGTCAGCCATGCTGCTTTTCAAGTGCTTTCTCACGGTGAAAAACCGCCTCCGTGGCGTAGTGGCTAGAGCCTCCGCCCGGAGAGCGGAAGGTCGAGGGTTTGATCCCCGACCGCGTCATACCAAAAAGACGGTAAAATATGGTACTTGTTGGTCCCTGCCTGGCGCTCAGCATTAATGGGTTACCGTGTAACAAGGAATTGTCGGCTCGGAGTCAGTATACTGTATCTGAGTTGGGTATTCATGCTTCACTGCGGCATGGTATCTCAGGGAGCGAAATCTATAAAACCAGCTTCAGTCTGGACTAAAGTACTGTCGGAAATGCTAGAAAAATGCTTTTTGACTTATATTTAAAATTCAGAGGTATTACAGTTACTTAAATAAGAAATATCACTTCAAGAAACATCTACCTAATGTAGACCGAGGGAATAAGTTTTGAGACATGCTCTAAAATGTGTTTTTACTGATGAAAATACCAAAAACTTAGAAAATTAAGGGGTAGTGGGACGTTATTTGATACAAACATTAATTGCCTGTGTTACGTCATCAGCATCCACGGTATCGACAGGTGAAATTGACACCTGAGCACACGCTCGTGCGAGGGGTCATCTCAATAGATGTTTTCTGCAAAATGTTGAATATGTGTACGTATAGTATACGTATCGGTTATGTAAGGGATCATTTGTGTATGTGTGTTTGTTTTGAAATAAACATACGAATTACTGTACATTGGAAAGAATCCTATCACTTGTGTGATCTTATCGACTGATTGTAGACATGTGCAACGTTTTAATAAATGTTTTGCATGTCAACAGTATATTTCATTGAAAAAATATGGATGTAACTCGGTCAGTTTAATCTAGTTGTGAACATTGGCCAAAGATTTAACGAAGTCACTGGTGTAGCTTCTTTAGAAGACATATATTCTCCTTCTCCTAAAGTTTGTAGACCGCCCGTCTTAGTGCTCCCTTGTCAAAGTTGTCAAGGATGGTTTCACGTCCCAGTTTTGCATTTGAGACGGTCCCTGTCTTGTCTGATTTGTTTACTTTATTGTAAACGTGTTGGTAAGACATGCCAACAGCTCTACAAGTTCTGTAATAAACCCTTTCTAAACCAATGAAAGGTTTACCTCTGTCTTTTTTTAGCAGAAAAAAACTATAAACCTTTGCAACAATCGACTGCAAATCATTGGCCATAGTGGACGCTGTGATAAAGATGTGCATGCATGACGGGAAACTTATTTATCAAGACTTAACATTTATATTAATATTTCTTCAATAAAGAAACGATAATTAAGTAAAGTAACACAAACATTCAACATTTATTTGTTTAGGAAAAACGTTAAATTAATATTTTTACACCACCTGTATTATTAGCATAAGTGTAAAGACTATTTCAGATTTCTGTTGTTGAACTCTAAAAAAATCTGTTTTGCTACCAAATTCTCTCCTGTAAACTGCCCTTTAAATGCATGGGAATGTTAAATCGATTGAAATAACAATTAGGTAGACAATAGACGAGTTGATATATTGACAACAAAGTTCATTTATCACCTTTATAAAGATATTAAGGCTAAAAAGCATTTTTCTAGCATTTCCGACAGTACTTTAGTACAAGCAGCCGCACATACACATACACACACGCATGCACGTCGTCATATGAGCGAAATATTCTCATGCACGACGTTAAAGCCAGTTTCACCTCACCTCACCTCACGGTGCAACTCGTGGCCTATGACTTGCAGTAACAACATGAACCTTTTTCTGGTATTAAGTTGCATACAGCTCGTATCTCGAGAGATTCGCATAAACGCGCAACATTTATTCGTCGGTGAAGGAAAGAAGTGTTATTCTATCTATCACACTCACTCAAGAAGATAATTTACAGCAAGCCTAACTCGGTGTGGGTTCGGTGTGGGTTCGGATCTGAATTCTCAGTTGAAACAGGACTGGCGCGTATAACTCGAATATGACGATGCTGGACCGTTGTAGAATTTCTTTGTATGGACATAATATATTTTCACATTACACTCGCATTCCTAGGGCACATTAAAGCTTATAAACTTATTAGTTTCTTCTGTGGGAAGATCAGCTTTATGTAGTGGTCTCACCCTTATGATCTCAACACTAACAAAGGATCGTCACTCTGGGCTGGACACATGTCTAAGCAATCTGATTGGTCGACAGCAATGTCTTAGGACTCTGATGCAGCTAGGTGTATGAGATTAAAGTTGGTTATGATGACAGTGTTCTGACGTTGTGCCTCTGCTGCAGCTAGGTGTATGAGATTACAGTTAGTTATGATGACAGTGTTCTGACGTTGTGCCTCTGCTGCAGCTAGGTGTATGAGATTAAAGTTGGTTATGATGACAGTGTTCTGACGTTGCAACTCTGTTGCAGCTAGGTGTATGAGATTAAGGTTTGTTATGATGACAGTGTTCTGACGTTGCAACTCTGCTGCAGCTAGGTGTATGAGATTAAGGTTTGTTATGATGACAGTGTTCTGACGTTGTGCCTCTGCTGCAGCTAGGTGTACGAGATTAAGGCTTGTTATGATGACAGTGTTCTGACGTTGTGCCTCTGCTGCAGCTAGGTGTATGAGATTAAAGTTGGTTATGATGACAGTGTTCTGACGTTGCAACTCTGTTGCAGCTAGGTGTATGAGATTAAGGTTTGTTATGATGACAGTGTTCTGACGTTGCAACTCTGCTGCAGCTAGGTGTATGAGATTAAGGTTTGTTATGATGACAGTGTTCTGACGTTGTGCCTCTGCTGCAGCTAGGTGTACGAGATTAAGGTTTGTTATGATGACAGTGTTCTGACGTTGTGCCTCTGCTGCAGCTAGGTGTATGAGATTAAAGTTGGTTATGATGACAGTGTTCTGACGTTGCAACTCTGCTGCAGCTAGGTGTATGAGATTAAGGTTTGTTATGATGACAGTGTTCTGACGTTGTGCCTCTGCTGCAGCTAGGTGTATGAGATTAAAGTTTGTTATGATGACAGTGTTCTGACGTTGTGCCTCTGCTGCAGCTAGGTGTATGAGATTAAAGTTTGTTATGATGACAGTGTTCTGACGTTGTGCCTCTGCTGCAGCTAGGTGTACGAGATTAAGGTTTGTTATGATGACAGTGTTCTGACGTTGTGCCTCTGCTGCAGCTAGGTGTACGAGATTAAGGTTTGTTATGATGACAGTGTTCTGACGTTGTGCCTCTGCTGCAGCTAGGTGTATGAGATTAAGGTTTGTTATGATGACAGTGTTCTGACGTTGTGCCTCTGCTGCAGCTAGGTGTATGAGATTAAAGTTTGTTATGATGACAGTGTTCTGACGTTGTGCCTCTGCTGCAGCTAGGTGTACGAGATTAAAGTTTGTTATGATGACAGTGTTCTGACGTTGTGCTCTCTGCTGCAGCTAGGTGTATGAGATTAAAGTTTGTTATGATGACAGTGTTCTGACGTTGTGCCTCTGCTGCAGCTAGGTGTATGAGAGATTAAGGTTGGTTAGGATGACAGTGTTCTGACGTTGTGCCTCTGCTGCAGCTAGGTGTATGAGATTAAAGTTTGTTATGATGACAGTGTTCTGACGTTGTGCCTCTGCTGCAGCTAGGTGTATGAGATTACAGTAGGTTATGATGACAGTGTTCTGACGTTGCTACTCTGTTGCATGCAACAATGTGTTACAACACTTCGCACCATGGGAACGCACCTTCTTGAACGTGCAGAGGACTGGCCATTGCAAGTGAAATATCATTGACTCATCTCGAAACAATCTCAGTTGGGCAGGAGCTCCACGTCCTGTGAGGTCTCCACCATTAACATATTAGCTGCACTCACTCACTCCTCACTCACTCAATCACTCGGAGCGGTGGGTTGGCCTAGTTGCTGAAACGTTCGCTCCACACGCCGAAGATCCGGGTTCGATTCCCCATATAGGTACAATATGTGAAGCCCATTTCTTGTGTCCTCCGCCTTGATATAGCTGGAATATTGCTATAAGCGGCGTAAAACCAAACTTACTCACTCACTCACTCATTCCAGTTGCTTACAATTCTCGGTCATCACTTCTAGCACACACTCCGTCTCAAACACTATTATTATTATTTTTATTATTATTATTATTACGATTGCCATAACGTCTAATAACATTGCCATTACATCTCATTACATTGCCCTTACATCTCATTACATTTCCCTTACATCTCATTACATTGCCCTTACATCTCATTACATTGCCATTACATCTCATTACATTGCCATTACGTCTCATTACATTGCCATTACGTCTCATTACATTGCCATTACATCTCATTACATTGCCCTTACATCTCATTACATTGCCCTTACATCTCATTACATTGCCATTACATCTCATTACATTTCCCTTACATCTCATTACATTGCCATTACATCTCATTACATTTCCCTTACATCTCATTACATTTCCCTTACATCTCATTACATTGCCCTTACATCTCATTACATTGCCATTACGCCTCATTACATTGCCATTACATCTCATTACATTGCCATTACGTCTCATTACATTGCCATTACGTCTCATTACATTGCCATTACATCTCATACTGCCGTTGAAATCTAAATCCGTACCGCCACTCTATTGTGTACTACCATTGAAATCCCTTGCAGTAATATGTATTGATTTGAAAAGCCAGGTAATGCTAGAGTGCAATAATTAAATCTTCGCGCCGTGATAACGCACCTTCATGACCGTTCAGAGGCACCCGTGGGACTGCCCATTTCAATGAAAGTGAAATATCATCGTCTCATCTCTTTCCTCCTCAGACAGGCAGTTTCTACATGTTCACGTGGTCGCCACTACTATCGGGTTACAGTAACCATGTTGCCCAGCTGTTGCATATATGTTCATCTATATTACACCAGTTGTGTCACAACCACCTGGATGATAGAGTTTGTTCAGTTTAACGCATACATATATTTTAACTAGTGTCGTCACAAACTATTTTTTGCTTCTAGGCCGTATTGTACCTCTCGAATGAGTCTCAGACGGGTTATCGAGATTCTACTGTCAAACATATTGTCTAGGAAACTTTAAGAATTTCATGTTTGAGTGCATTAATTGGAATGGGTGAAATAATGCACGAAACGTTTTGAAGTCAGTTACCTCGAGCTCCTTCTTAAACCAGTTTCGGTTCGTGAATTGAAAACGTCAAAACAAAATCAGCTGCAATTTATTTAAAATGTGGGTAATAAATAGAACACCGCTCTCGTTCTGGTTAGATATCAGGTTTACCAAAATCGTGAATTTTCTTACCATATCTGACTCAGCGAAAGTGCTTCCTGAAATCGGCATCCAGTGAGAACTGTATTCTAACATTCTGTGTGTACCCACCCAAAACTGTATCTCCCCATATTTTCAACCCGAATATGAGTACGACCATTGTTAAAGTAAGAACGAGTAGATAGCCGGTACTTACAGTTATATCATGGGGGGGAACAGTTACATTCCAAAGTGTATGGTACAGGCACTAAACCACATCCATCCGAGCCCTGACACCATTGTTAAAGTAAGAACGAGTAGATAGCCAGTACTTACAGTTATATCATGGGGGGAACAGTTACATTCCACAGTGTATGGTACAGGCACTAAACCACATCCATCCGAGCCCTGACACCAGTGGGATCAACTGTCTCCATGCAATGTGGCGTCTGTGCACCTTGTGCCTGCTTCATGTGTAATTATTGAACCCGCAATGGCGGTCGGTCGATGTGAAACAGCTGTATACAAGCTTGTCGCACCAAACAGGTTAGTCGTTATTCCCAAAGCAAGCTGAATTAGGAGATAAACCTACTGTGTTGGAAAATCAGAGGTATATAACGAAATTATAATAGCTCTTAGTTTAATTTAAAATCTTTAAATTAGGTAGGTTTATCTCCTAATGAAAAATTTAGAGCTATTATAAATTTCGTTATATACCTCTGATTTTCCTACACAGTAGGTTTATCTCCATTCTACCATGACAATTTTATGAACAATTTCAGTTGGAACTCTTTCGTTGGTGACGAGTCAATACGTGAAGCGGCGTCGCATTCCAATCTCAAGTGGCATCACCTCAAACGGGATGATTAGTGGCCAACCGTCAATGACTCACAAACTCCAGATTCAGTAATAACAAATCACGTTTTGTTTTTCAATGCAATTATCACCAATCATTAACTGATAAGTTGGAAAACATATATGAAATAAGTTTAAAAAGCTTGGTTCACATTTGAAAATTCCACCGTAGACCCTTTCCCCACCAGAATAATGGCAGCAACTTCACGGCCTTGACCTTTATGGAAGTCAGTGTTTACATTTACGTGCAAATTTGAAAAGATGCGACAGGAGGGCCTCTGACAGTTTGCGCAAGGTTAACCTGATTGTATGACTGAGATAGTTTTTTTATATCTAATTACTGGTACTGGTACAAAATTTAAGAGTAGAGGCGCTTTTGCTGTAAAGAGAAGTCCGTGTTGTACCGAATTTAGATACTGTTGAATTTTGCGCCCTGTCAACTGGACGATTTCACACACCTCTACGTCTCCGTGTGACAGAAGAGTCACTGTGGTGGTGACTCTTACACACTCATGTGTGTACTTTGTGCTCAAATTCGATTCTACGGATATTATTTTCTACACTTTGGAAAGTGTTTTGTGACCTAGTGGATTAAAATTGAATCGGATTCGCTGGCACGTTCGCGAGGCTGTTGACAAAGAGCCAGATTTGTGGTGATGTTTCCGAAAGGATGGAACAGGACATGAGGGTGTACCTCTGGCATAAACACGGTAAGGTAATTAATTCTACTTTAATAGACTACTTTAGATCAAGCACTGTAATGGATAAGAGGGATCATTACTAAGCTAAATAACTTTTTCAACGATAGTATACCTTTAGAAAAAAAATATGTTGGGCTAAACAGAACGGTTTGCAGATTATGTAATAAAATTGTGTTTTACTACGGCTTAATCTGACACCGTACAAATTTCTAAAAATATATCATTTTGTTTGAATTGATAACCCAACTGTTTATTTATGTGGACGGAAGGCATTAACATTTCTTCGGCGGTCGATGTTTATGCCGGATCAGCTCAGCGGCGATATCGTTGACGAAAGCTGATAATAAATTTAATACGGAAATTATGTAGCAGTCTATTGCTTAATCTATTTTGACATAACATAGAATGAACATAAACATATTTCTCTTGCTGAATTTGTATTCGGAAAGCAGACGATGGTTTGATCTTGTTCGAATGAATATTTGTTTCCATGCTTTCGAAGTACTTTTGTATGTATAAACACCTATTGCTGTGATTTACGCAAGTAGTGAGTCGAGCCCGTCATCGCTAAATCCATCTTTAAAGACATGTGTAATTTCTATCATTGACTCACACCTCTACCCTCCACCAATTAACTTTACCCCGTACACCCCTAACTTCTATCATTGACTCACAACTCTACCCTCCGCCAATTAGCTTTACCCTATACACCCCTTACTTCTATCATTGACTCACAACTCTACCCTTCACCTCCACAGCTTTACCCAATACACCCCTAACTGCATGAGCTGACTCACAAACTGAATCCCTCATTTCCAATATATACTCAATTGTTTCTACAAATCTTCCGAGAGGTGGAGTAGCCTAGTGGTCAAAGCGTTCGCTCGTCAAGCTGAAGACTTGGGTTCGACTCCCCAAATGGGTACACTATGTGAAGCCCATTTCTGGTGTCTCGCCCTGATATTGCTGGAATATTGCTAAACGCGGCGTAAAACCATACTCACTCACTCTACAAACCTCCACAGTCCCGACCTGACATTTATCTGTCTGTATCCACACAAAAACCGTTTTCTCGGCAATCTGTGGCCAACTCAATTCTCGGGAATAATACATGGGCGAGACTATTATGTGTATGGGGGACAGGTTGTTCGGTCCTGAACAAACTCGCTAATTTATCACAAATTACCCTTACCTATGTAACCTATAGTTAATGAAACATCTGGTATATTTGTCACAAATTACCCTTACCTATGTAACCTATAGTTAATGAAGCATCTGGAATATTTGTCACAAATTACCCTTACCTATGTAACCTATAGTTAATGAAACATCTGGTATATTTGTCACAAATTACCCTTACCTATGTAACCTATAGTTAATGAAACATCTGGAATATGTATTAGGAAAATATATTCAATACATACTAAGTGACTTTAGTTTTGCTTTAGCATTGTTTGTCTAATATCAGCTTCCTTCAACCCCTCTATGTTTACGTTTCCAATTTCAAGGAATTGTTGTTTCTGGCTCGATGTGTGCACGTCATTTGATCACAATGTATACAATGTACTTGGACGAACCCTTCCCCAAGAATACGAATGTGTATAACACACGAATTAGCTGTATTCGTCGAATTTACGTCACGGACTAATTATGTTATGTAATACAGTTATCGTCGTTATAGTTACAGGGATGGCTGACAAAATGTAAATTTATGATAATTATTGTAAGTTTGGTCACGCACCTCTTCAAAGCCTGTAGTTCAGTACACGGGGAATGGTGAAACTTCTCTGCGCATCACCCGTGCTCCTTGTGAGGTTATAGACTGGGACTATCTGTGGTAATACCCAAACAGCAGCTTTCAGTTTAAATGTTAATGTGGATTTCAGCGCTTGATAAGAGTATGTGGGTCACTCAGCATTACATCGTAAAATCATTAAATCGTTAACCGCTTTCACTAGGTTTTATAGATAATAAACGTAAAAATGAACTAATCTGATAACAGCTGGTATGCTTAAAGACATGTTTGACAACTGATTATGTTGAAATTAATGAGGTGTGGTGGGGTAGCGTTTGCTCCTCACGCCGAAGACCCGGGTTTGATTCCCCACATGGGTACAATGTGTGAATGGCTGGTGTCCCCTGTCGTGATATTGCTGGAATTTTACTTAAAGCGGGCTAACAAAAACAACTTAATTCCCTCCGTATGCAGATGTTAACTCATACATTCAAACTGTCTGAAGTGGATAAAGATCCCCAGATATATCTGCGTTCCTGGTAGTGTTAAGTTCATTCCTGATCACATTTGTAGTCTAAACAAACATATCGTCCGCCGGATTAAATAATACACATACTTTAGAGACATTAACTTATTTATGCACTATAATGAAGAAGTTGTTATCCATGAATTGGGTCGATTTGTCATCCGTGCGTTGCTACAAAACGTCTATCAAACATTTGCAGGTTCAAGCTGTACGTCACTCCCACCCAGGACATGGACGTGTCCCCAGAGGCAGGAGATGCTCCTCAGTACGATGTCGTTGATGAAACAAGGATGTATGATGGACTCACTGGCATCCAGCCTACTCCAGTTGTCCCGGCTATCAGTTATCCGTACTACACCAGGCTCATACAGGACCGCCCGAAATAAACCCCTGTGACGCCACACGTTAAAGGTCAACCGGACGTGACGGCGTGTAGGAATTCGGGAAATGATGAGAATTGTGTTTTGCGAAGTCGTCACAGTGATTATGGCAGACACTATTGGTCGGATATTTTACCCTAAATTGGCGATTACGAGAAAACAACTATAAATTGTGAAAATGGATGAAACGGGTGTATTTGTGACTCTAAAATAATGATCCTCATTTGCAAAAATACTAGGTATGCAAAATTTAATGGATGAAATGGGTGTATTTGTGACTCTAAAACGACAACCATTTATCATACATGCAACAAACAGCCACGTCTGAACTAGGGTGCATATCACTGATCTGGTATTCCTAAAAAGGATGGTATTCAGTCAGTGAAACAAAGATGTATGATGTTCACCGTGACGACGGCCAATAAACCTGTGCCGCATTTTATCACGGCATGAGCTATGAGATTCAAACACGTCATAACATGGACTGGGACGGGCATCCAGACAAAATGACTGCCGGGAACTTTGATTAGAGACAGGGGCTAAGCAACCCATATTTCCCAAGAATTGCATCAATCTCAATAATAGAAGCAATATATTTCCATATTTGCTAAAGCTGTAATTATGTTGATATGTTGTTGACGAAAGGTATATGTACTGCTGTCCCAATGTCCTGTTTCAGAACCATTCCCTCCCCATTATAAAACAGGATGCTAGGCGCTGTATAGGGGAGTTAGGTGTTCTTATTCTCGCGGCAGGTCGGGTTGTGTGAAAAGTAGCGTAGGAAATGGAATATGATTTAGACTGTAGTTCTGGGGTTATGTTCGGTTTAGAAAGGGTTGGTTTGGGTGTTTTTTCAAGAGTAGTTTAACGAATAGGTCTGTGAGTGAGGGAATTGTGGCATTTACAAGTTGTTCAGTTTTTGTGACTAGTTTTCCACCACCTTTTGCAATAAACTGTTATTACTGTTTAGTTTGTTTCCGTTATTTCCTATTAAGCTTTATGCCTGACTGACGAACAGGTCATTGAGTTTTGAGTAGTGAACCCGAGGTGAGGTGAAACTGGGTTTAACGTCGTGTTGAGAATATTTCGCTCATATGACGACGTGCATGCGTGTGTATGTGTATGTGCGGCTGCTTGTACCAGCCCAGACTTAAGCTGGTTCTATAGTACTGACCCACCGCTGACTAGTCCTTGTTGTACCCTTTAATGCCGAGCGCCAGGCAGTGACCAACAAGTAACATATTTTAACGTATTTTGGTATGACGCGGTCGGGGATCAAACCCGCAACCTTCCGCTCTCCGGGCGGACGCTCTAACCACTACACCACAGAGGAGGTAGTGAACCTGAACACACACTATAAATACACAACGCAAAGTCCAAACAGGTTGATTTAACATCCCGTTCCTACCTCAGCTGTCACTGGGCGACTGTAGTTTGTTCACAACCACCCTTATCACCACTGTGTCGTTTTGGCCACAGTCAGTTTATCCAGGAATATCTGCTGAATGTGGGTGTACACCACCACCCCTATTACCACTGTGTCGTTTTGGCCACAGTCAGTTTACCCAGGACTATCTGCTGAATGTGGGTGTTCACAACCACCCCTATTACCACTGTGTCGTATTGGCCACAGTCAGTTTACCCAGGACTATCTGCTGAATGTGGGTGTACACAACACACCCTATTACCACTGTGTCGTATTGGCCACAGTCAGTTTACCCAGGACTATCTGCTGAATGTGGGTGTACACAACCACCCCTATTACCACTGTGTCGTATTGGCCACAGTCAGTTTACCCAGGACTATCTGCTGAATGTGGGTGTACACAACCACCCCTATTACCACTGTGTCGTATTGGCCACAGTCAGTTTACCCAGGACTATCTGCTGAAAACGAATGTGGGTGGACCTCCTTTGTGTGTCTCTTGCGATGAGGTGTTCACCGTCAAGCACATACTGCTTGACTGTGCGGACTTTTCAACTGCAAGGGGCTTACATTATGATGCATTGGCAATATCCGGCAATACCTGACAACTGAAACAGCAACAACTCTTGTTCTATCCCTTGTCATGAGCAGACAGACTGCAACTGTCTGTTGGCTGGTGCAACCAAGTATCAGATACAGACGCTACAAAGAGTACAGAGTGTATCAGCCCGCATTGTGACAAGATCCAGGAACAATGATCACATCACTCCTCTTCTATACTTTCTACACCGGTGGTCTGTGGAGTTCAGAATTGAGTTTATACTTCTCTGCCTTGTCCTCCGCTGTCTGTCTGGAATTGCCCCTACATATTTATCCAGTCTTCTTTCTCTGTACAAGCCTTCTCGCTCGCCCCGTTCTCAATATAAAAGTCTGCTTGTTGTCCCTAAAACAAGAACAGTGCAGTATGGAAACAGATCCTTTGTCTATGCAGCACCAGTGGCCTGGAACAAACTTCCACAGAATCTCACGGACTGTACTGACTTTGTCACTTTCAAATCCCGGTTAAAGACACATTTGTTCAGGACAAACTTTTCAACTCTATAATTGTGTAATTTGTTACTTTCTATCTACGCTTTGAGCATGAACTGCATGGATACCAGCGCATTACAAATGTGTTACGACGATGATGATGACGATGATGATAATGATGATGATGCGAGAAATCTAAAAGATCTGTTTTCCCGCATTGTTGACTACCCAAGGGACGTTAACTTGTATCATAAATTGTAGCCATGTTATGTGGATAACAAACTGCTTGCTTTTGAATTTGGTGCTATGACATTTTCTGTTTGTAAATAATAATGTAATGAATATGTGTGTGTGTGTTTAAAATAAAACTCGTTAGGACCTTAGATTTAAAACGTTCATAAATGTAGACTTGATCTCGTCACTATACGGCTGGAATAATGCCGATGTGACGTAAAGACAAACTCAACTATTACACTCTCAGTGTGTGGAATGCTAGTATAGTTCTGACCATGTCGCCCTTGTCCATCTCTTCACGCTTGACTCTGTGTATTGTAATCACAACCAATCACAGTGTACTTCAACCTACTTACTAATCACCACCTCACTGTACATCAAACTCACCATTGTATAAACTCATCCTCTAATCACAACCAATCACAGTGTACTTCAACCTACTTACTAATCACCACCTCATTGTACATCAAACTCACCATTGGATAAACTCATCCTCTAATCACAACCAATGACAGTGTACTTCAACCTACTTACTAATCACCACCTCAGTGTATATCAAACTCACCATTGGATAAACTCATCCTCTAATCACAACCAATCACAGTGTACTTCAACCTACTTACTAATCACCACCTCATTGTACATCAAACTCACCATTGTATAAACTCATCCTCTAATCACAACCAATCACAGTGTACTTCCAACCAACTTCTTACTAATCACCACCTCATTGTACATCAAACTCACCATTGTATAAACTCATCCTCTAATCACAACCAATCACAGTGTACTTCATCCTACTTACTAATCACCACCTCATTGTACATCAAACTCACCATTGTATAAACTCATCCTCTAATCACAACCAATCACAGTGTACTTCAACCTACTTACTAATCACCACCTCATTGTACATCAAACTCACCATTATATAAACTCATCCTCTAATCACAACCAATCACCGTGTACTTCAACCTACTTACTAATCACCACCTCAGTGTATATCAAACTCACCATTATATAAACTCAACCTCTAATCACAACCAATCACAGTGTACTTCAACCTACTTACTAATCACCACCTCATTGTACATCAAACTCACCATTGTATAAACCCATCCTCTTATCACAACCAACCACAGTCTACTTCAACCTACTTACTAATTACCACCTCATTGTACATTAAACCCACCATTATATAATCTCAACCTCTAATCACAACCAATCACTCTGTACATCAACCTACTTACTAATCACCACCTCATTGTACATCAAACTCACCATTATATATACTCAACCTCTAATCACAACCAATCACAGTGTACTTCAACCTAATTACTAATCACCAACTCACTGTACATCAAACTCACCATTGTATAAACTTAACCTCTAATCACAACCAATCACAGTGTACTTCAACCTACTTACTAATCACCACCTCATTGTACATCAAACCCACCATTGTATAAACTCAACCTCTAACCACAACCAATCACCGTGTACTTCAACCTACTTACTAATCACCACCTCATTGTACATCAAACTCACCATTATATAAACTCATCCTCTAATCACAACCAATCACAGTGTACTTCAACCTACTTACTAATCACCACCTCATTGTACATCAAACTCACCATTATATAAACTCAACCTCTAATCACACCAATCACAGTGTACTTCAACCTACTCTGCCCAAATTAATTATTAGATGTCCAATGTACATCTACCTTGTCAATTTTATATACTCACAATGTACATCTACCTTGTCAACTGTATATACTCACAATGTACATCTACCTTGTCAATTTTATATACTCACAATGTACATCTACCTTGTCAACTGTATATACTCACAATGTACATCTACTTTGTCAATTGTATATACTCACAATGGACATCTACCTTGTCAATTGTATATACTCACAATGGACATCTACCTTGTCAATTGTATATACTCACAATGTACATCTACCTTGTCAATTGTATATACTCACAATGTACATCTACCTTGTCAATTGTATATACTCACAATGTACATCTACTTTGTCAATTGTATATACTCACAATGGACATCTACCTTATCAACTGTATATACTCACAATGTACATCTACCTTGTCAATTATGTATACTCACAATGTACATCTACCTTGTCAGTTGTATATACTCACAATGCTACATCTACCTTGTCAATTGTATATACTCACAATGCTACATCTACCTTGTCAATTGTATATACTCACAATGTACATCTTCCTTGTCAATTGTATATACTCACAATGTACATCTACCTTGTCAATTGTATATACTCACAATGGACATCTACCTTGTCAATTGTATATACTCACAATGTACATCTACCTTGTCAATTGTATATACTCACAATGGACATCTACCTTGTCAATTGTATATACTCACAATGCAGCTATGTATATATTGTCCTTCTTTCAACTCTTTTTATCACTTCCTTAATAACGGTGTTAGTAACTACACCGAAGGGCCACACTCACAGAGGTTGACTGTCCATAGAAGTTTTCCTTCATCTCCACAACTTCTAAAATGTCTCTCGAAGAAGAAAATACTAAAAATGTTATATATCACTTCATGTTACCGAAGCGATCGTTGTGAATATAAATTAAAGTTATTGTTGAAAGCAACATATTTACAAATTGTTAGAAATCTATCAGCGTACATTTATCATAGATTCAACAAGAGAAAATCTGTTTTAAACATTGTGTGACTGTGCCAGCTTGTATTGCCTCTTCCTTCTGAAAAAATAAACAATGAAGACACCCAGCACTAGCACAGCGGCAGCCAGGATCTTAATGCCATATGTCCCAGCTGTAAACACACCATCACCTCCACTCCATCCCACCCCACAAGACGGGGTGGAACAAAATAGCTGCGTACATTTGTTACCCCAGGTACACTGTTTGTTTTTCTTGTAGCAGCAGTCGACTGGGCAGTTGTCTGTAGTTTCTTCGACATCACATTTTCCGTTGTAGCAGGTGTCTGGCATTCCTGGCCCATCCCTTACTACAAGGTTTAACCCATTCACTCGGTACCGCTTTTCGCAGAAGTCTGTGAAGCACTTAGTGAACACCCAGCATGTTCCTACAACATCCAGTGAAGGCCATGGGCTACATTTCTCAGCTACTCGGGCCTGTCCGTCACATCCTCCACAACGGTAAGATTCATGTTGTTCACCATTCCCGCCGTCAAACCCACCAGGCTTACAGTAGGATCCATTAGATGCTCTGTGATAGGTACGACCATCGCAATAGGGATAAGGACCTTCATCCAGGTTGTTACAGCAGGTGTAAAAGTGGACCTTAGAAATTCCACCCCACCAGAAGTTGGAGCACATTCCTTTATGTGGTTGATCTACAGGCCTTCTCTTGACCCGAACATTGGGAGAAGTTGCGTGAACACTGGACAGTGTCGTGAGGGCGAGGACCGTCATTATGACCATTGCTAGTTTCAGAGATAATAGCAATGTCCCTTTGATCTGAAGGGTAATAGAATTGTACAAGTTAATATCGATATACAGTCATGTCGTACGGCTGGAGTAGCGATTTATTTGATAATACAGCAATAACATTTAGATTTAAGAATACAAAGTTGCCAGAAACTCCCTAAATATTTCCAGTGTATACCATTTGTTTAACCTTTTGTGTTTAGGAACATTTATGGTGTATTAATGATCTCCGACATTTTAACGGATGTTTTATACAAAATAACAAACTTGTATGATCATCATTATTTCGGGATTTACTTTCAGTATTATCCAGAAATGTGTAAGTAAGTATGATTTCACGCCTCTTTTAGCAATATTCCAGTGTGTGCCATTCCTTCAGAAGGGCATCCTAAAATTTAGAACATCTGTAAGCTATTGATGATCTCCAACAGGACCAAATCACATACATTTTAACGAGTGTTTTATGGTGTGGACCTATGTGATGGAGGCACCTTTGTAGAAGGCACAGGTTTAGATTGGTATATAACCCACACTATCTGATGGAGGCACCTTTGTAGAAGGCACTGGTTTAGATTGGACCTTGATCTTGTCCTCCTTATAGTGTGCATTACAAAAACAACAATCTGACAAGTTGCCAGGGTAGTGATCCACCAAGAATTCGTAACGTTACGCCTGTCGTAACCCTACAGTTTGCCATAGGCTTACGAAGATCATAGTGCTATGAAGACTGTTTGCAGATCGGGATCTTGGTTCGTAGGGGCTTTTGGGCATATCTACGGATGTCGACAGGGACTCAGGGAGGTCATGCACAGACGAAGGCCCCATACACTGACGAAGTTGTGCATACACTGCAGCAGGCCTGTATACACTGACGAAGGTGTGCATACACTGCAGCAGGCCTCCATACACTGACATAGGTGTGCATACACTGCAGCAGGGCTCCATACACTGACAAAGGTGTCCATACACTGACAAAGGTGTGCATACACTGCAGCAGGGCTCCATACACTGACAAAGGTGTGCATACACTGCAGCAGGGCTCCATACACTGACAAAGGTGTGCATTCACTGCAGCAGGGCTCCATACACTGACAAAGGTGTGCATACACTGCAGCAGGGCCCCATACACTGACATTGGTGTGCATACACTGCAGCAGGGCCCCATACACTGACGAAGGCCCCATACACTGACAAAGGTGTGCATACACTGCAGCAGGGCCCCATACACTGACAAAGGTGTGCAAACACTGCACCAGTGCTCCATACACTGACAAAGATGTGCAAACACTGCAGCAGGGCTCCATACACTGACATAGGTGTGCATACACTGCAGCAGGGCTCCATACACTGTCGAACAGAGGTCATACACTGACGAAGGGATTTGTTACACTGACGAAGGGAGGTCATACACTGACGAAGGGAGGTCATACACTGACGAAGGCCCCCATACACTGACGAACGGAGGTCATACACTGACGAAGGGATTTGATACACTGACGAAGGGAGGTCATAAAATGACGAAGGTTTCCATACACTGACGAAGGGAGGCCATGAGTGAGTGAGTTCGGTTTTACGCCGCTTTTAGCAATATTCCAGCAATTTCACGGCGGGGGACACCAGAAATGGGCTTCACACATTGTACCCATGTGGGGAATCGAACCCGGGTCTTCAGCGTGGCGAGCCAACACTTTAACCATCAGGCTACCCCACCGCCCCAAGGGAGGCCATGAACTGACGAAAGGAGGTCATACACTGACGAAGGAAGGCCATACACTGACGAAGGGAAGTCATACACTGTCGAAGGGAGGTCATACACTGACGAAGGGAAGTCATACACTGACGAAGGGAGGCCATACACTGACGAAGGGAGGCCATACACTGACGAAGGGAAGTCATACACTGACGAAGGGAGGTCATACACTGTCGAAGGGAAGTCATACACTGACGAAGGGAGGTCATACACTGTCGAAGGGAAGTCATACACTGACGAAGGGGGGGTCATTCATTGACGATCGGAGGTCACACACTGACGAAGGGGGGCCATACACAGACGAAGGGAGGCCATACACTAACGAAGGGAGGTCATTCATTGACGATGGGAGGTCAGACACTGACGATGGGAGGTCAGACACTGACGGAGGGAGGTCATACACAGACGAAGGGAGGTCATACACTGACGAAGGGCGGTCATACACTTACGAAGAGAGACCACACACTGACGAAGGGAGAGCATACACTGACCAAGGGAGGCAATTCACTGACGAAAAGAGGTCATGCACTGACGAAGAGAGGTCATGCACTGGCGAAGGTAGGCCATACACTGACGAAGGGAGGTCATACACTAACGAAGGGAGGTCATACACTGACGAAGGCCTCCATACACTGACGAAGGGAGGCCACAATGATGAAGGGAGGCCATGCGCTGACCAAAGAGGCCATACACTGAAGAAGGGAGGTCATACACTGACGAAGGGAGGTCATACATTGAGAAAGGGAGGTCATACACTGTCGAAGGGAGGTCATTCATTGACGATGGGAGGTCAGACACTGACGAAGGGAGGTCATTCATTGACGATGGGAGGTCAGACACTGACGAAGGGAGGTAATACACTGACGAAGGAAGGTCATACACTGACGAAGGGAGGTCATACACTGTCGAAGGGAGGTCACACACTGACGAAGGGGGTCATACACTGACACTGGGAGGCCATACACAGACGAAGGGAGGTCACACACTGACGAAGGGGAGTCATACACTGACAATAGGAGGCCATACACAGACGAAGGGAGGTCATACACTAACGAAGGGAGGTCATTCATGGACGATGGGAGGTCAGACACTGACGAAGGGAGGTCATACACTGACGAAAGAAGGTCATACACTGACGAAGGGCGGTCATACACTTATGAAGTGAGGCCACACACTGACGAAGAGAGATCATACACTGACCAAGGGAGGCAATTCACTGACGAAAAGAGGTCATCCACTGACGAAGAGAGGTCATGCACTGGCGAAGGTAGGCCATGCACTGACGAAGGGCGGTCATACACTAACGAATGAAGGTCATACATTGAAGAAGGGAGGTTATACACTGACGAAAGGAGGTCATACAGTGAGGAAGGGAGGTCATACAGTGAGGAAGGGAGGTTATACACTGACGAAAGGAGGTCACACACTGACGGAGGCCTCCATATATTGACGAAGAGAAGTCATACATTGAGGAAGGAAGGTCATACATTGACAAATGGAGGTCATACATTGACGAAGGGAGGTCATACACTAACGAAGGAAGGTCATACACTGACAAAGGCCTCAATATACTAACGGAGGGAGGTCATACAATGATGAAGGGAGGCCATGTGCTGACGAATGGATGCCATACACTGATGAAGGGAGGTCATCCACTGACGAAGAGAGGTCATGCACTGGCGAAGGTAGGCCATGCACTGACGAAGGGAGGTCATACACTAACGAAGGGAGGTCATACACTGACGAAGGCCTCCATACACTGACGAAGGGAGGCCACAATGATGAAGGGAGGCCATGCGCTGACGAAAGAGGCCATACACTGAAGAAGGGAGGTCATACACTGACGAAGGGAGGTCATACATTGAGAAAGGGAGGTCATACACTGTCGAAGGGAGGTCATTCATTGACGATGGGAGGTCAGACACTGACGAAGGGAGGTCATTCATTGACGATGGGAGGTCAGACACTGACGAAGGGAGGTCATACACTGACGAAGGAAGGTCATACACTGACGAAGGGAGGTCATACACTGTCGAAGGGAGGTCACACACTGACGAAGGGGGTCATACACTGACACTGGGAGGCCATACACAGACGAAGGGAGGTCACACACTGACGAAGGGGAGTCATACACTGACAATGGGAGGCCATACACAGACGAAGGGAGGTCATACACTAACGAAGGGAGGTCATTCATGGACGATGGGAGGTCAGACACTGACGAAGGGAGGTCATACACTGACGAAAGAAGGTCACACACTGACGGAGGCCTCCATATATTGACGAAGAGAAGTCATACATTGAGGAAGGAAGGTCATACATTGACAAATGGAGGTCATACATTGACGAAGGGAGGTCATACACTAACGAAGGAAGGTCATACACTGACAAAGGCCTCAATATACTAACGGAGGGAGGTCATACAATGATGAAGGGAGGCCATGTGCTGACGAATGGATGCCATACACTGATGAAGGGAGGTCATACTCTGACGAAGGGAGGTAATTCACTGACGAAAAGAGGTCATCCACTGACGAAGAGAGGTCATGCACTGGCGAAGGTAGGCCATGCACTGACGAAGGGAGGTCATACACTAACGAATGGAGGTCATACACTGACGAAGGCCTCCATACACTGACGACGGGAGGCCATACAATGATGAAGGGAGGTCATGCACTGACGAAGGGAGGTCATACTCTGACGAAGGGAGGTCATACACTGAGGAAGGGAGGTCATACACTGAAGATGGGAGGTCATACACTGACTAAGAGAGGTCATACACTGACACTGGGAGGCCTTACACAGACAATGGGAGGCCATGCACTGACGAATGGTGGTCATACACTGACGAAGGGAGGTCATACACTGACGAAGGGAGGTCATACTCTGACGAAAGGAGGTCATACAATGAGGAAGGGAGGTCATACAGTGAGGAAGGGAGGTTATACCCTGACGAAAGGAGGTCACACACTGACGGAGGCCTCCATATATTGACGAAGAGAAGTCATACATTGAGGAAGGAAGGTCATACATGGACAAATGGAGGTCATACATTGACGAAGGGAGGTCATACATTGACGAAGGGAGGTGATACACCAACGAAGGAAGGTCATACACTTACAAAGGCCTCAATATACTGACGGAGGGAGGTCATACAATGATGAAGGGAGGCCATGTGCTGACGAATGGATGCCATACACTGACGAAGGGAGGTCATACTCTGGCGAAGGGAGGTCATACTCTGACGAAGGGAGGTCATACACTGACGAAAGGAGGTTATACATTGAGAAAGGGAGGTCACACACTGACAAAGGCCCCCATACCCTGACGAAGAGAGGTCATACACTGACAATGGAAGGCCACACACTGACGAAGGGAGGTCATACAGTGAGGAAGGGAGGTCATACAGTGACGAAGGGAGGTCATACACTGACGAAGGGAGGTCATACACTAACGAAGGGAGGTCACACAGTGAGGAAGGGAGGTCACACACTGACAAAGGCCTCCATACCCTGACGAAGAAAGGTCATACACTTAGAAAGGGAGGTCATACATTGAGGAAGGGAGGTCATACATTGACGAAGGGAGGTCATACTGTCTGACTGACTGAGTTTTAGTTGTACGTCGCTTTTAGCAATATTCCAACAATATCACGGCGGGGAACACCAGAAATGGGCTTCACACATTGTGCCCATGTGGGGAATCGAATCAGGGTCTTCGGCGTGACGAGCCAACGCTTTAATCACAAGGCTACCCCGCTGCCCCAAGGGAGGTCATACACTGACGAAGGGAGGTCATACACTGACGAAGGGAGGTCATGCACTGACGAAAGGAGGTCATGCACTGACGAAAGGAGGCCATGCACTGACGAAGGGAGGTCATTACCTGCCGAAGGGAGGTCATGCACTGACGAAGGGAGGTCATGCACTGACGAAGGGAGGTCATACACTGACGAAGGGAGGTCATACACTGACAAAGGGAGGTCATACATTGAGGAAGGGAGGTCATACACTGACAAAGGGAGGTCATACATTGAGGAAGGGAGGTCATACACTGACGAAGGGAGGTCATACACTGACAAAGGGAGGTCATACATTGAGGAAGGGAGGTCATACACTGACAAAGGGAGGTCATACACTGACGAAGGGAGGTCATACATTGACGAAGGGAGGTCATACTGACTGACTGACTGAGTTTTAGTTTTACGTCGCTTTTAGCAATATTCCAACAATATCACGGCGGGGAACACCAGAAATGGGCTTCACACATTGTGCCCATGTGGGGAATCGAATCAGGGTCTTCGGCGTGACGAGCCAACCCTTTAATCACTAGGCTACCCCGCTGCCCCAAGGGAGGTCATACACTGACGAAGGGAGGTCATACACTGACGAAGGGAGGTCATGCACTGACGAAAGGAGGCCATGCACTGACGAAGGGAGGTCATTACCTGACGAAGGGAGGTCATGCACTGACGAAGGGAGGTCATGCACTGACGAAGGGAGGTCATACACTGACGAAGGGAGGTCATACACTGACAAAGGGAGGTCATACATTGAGGAAGGGAGGTCATACACTGACAAAGGGAGGTCATACACTGAGGAAGGGAGGTCATACACTGAGGAAGGGAGGTCATACACTGACAAAAGGATGTCATACACTGTGGTTCTTGTATATATTTTACTAAACAATTATGACATAACAGAACCCGAGTGTTTGATTTTGCACAATCGAACATGAAAACCCTACACTGGTGTACTTACAACCATCCACACAAGTTTTATATGCTCATCCAGTATGAAGCTAGGATGGGCGGTGGGGTAGCCTAGTGGTTAAAGCGTTGGCTCGTCACGCCGAAGACCCGGGTTCGATTCCCCACATGGGCACAATGTGTTAAGCCCATTTCTGGTGTCCCCCGCCGTGATATTGCTGGAATATTGCTAAAAGCAGCGTAAAACTAAACTCAGTCAGTCAGTCAGTATGAAGCTAGGACAGTCATCTATATTATAACACATTTTGACGTTTACGAAAACGTTAATACTTACATGTTTATGTGTGACGCTTCAACGATGGAGTGGAGTTTGTGTTCATTTTACACGTCTCTCCAGATGACTGACGGCCGGGCCATTAACCTATGTGTAGCATGATATGACTTGTTTCGGCCGAGACAGACGGAAGTAACACATCAGCCCGGTGGAGTCATTCACTCGTTACGAACTCGTATCTGTAAAACGATCTCGTTTACGAGTTTGTTGGGCATTAGCTCAACATTTCTGTTTTGAAATGTCACATTTCAGGAGTTGTAGATCTCATTTAGACTTGACAACAAAATGTATTCGGCGACAAGAGCTTGGCTGGTATGTTGTTAGGCTTACCTCACACGCTAACTGTACAGAAGGGTACACTGAACTGTGACTGTGTCCCCCGCGTGATGTTGCTGGAATATTGCTAAAAGCGGCGTAAAACCAAACTCAGTCAGTCAGTCAGATGGTATATTCATTTATAAACAAGCATTAGGGAGACCAGAAGGCAATTTATACATATCAAATAAATAAAGTAGTAGGGAGACTAGATGGTAAATAAGGGAGATTTTTAAAGATGTTCGGAGTCAAAGGTAGGTCATGACAAGCACACTTTGCTGTAAGTCAGGTGAGCTGAACCTAAAACACCTCTTAAGGTCCTTATGTGTTGTTCTTGTCACTGTTAGGTGTTTTAGTGAAATAATCGTACTGTATCTGGGTGGTAAATAGGTGAAGGCAACAAACTGATAAAATAGAACTTCCAACTCCAATCCATGAACTGAGTCACGACTTGGGAGGAATAACACTGTACACAAAACGTAGACACCTGACCACGCCATCCATTTAGTAACCTCACCTGACAAGCATAACCTCTTCAACACCAAGGTGAGGTGAAATGGAGTTTAACGTTGAATGTGGTAATATTTCGCTCATATGACGACGTGCATGCGTGGGTATGTGTATCTGCGGCTGCTTGTACTTGCCCAGTCTTAAGCTGGTTTTATAGTGCTAGCCCACTGAGATACCATGCCGCAGTGAAGCAGGAATACCCCACTCAGAAACATTATACTCAGAGCCGACCAGTTCTTGTTGTACCCATTAATGCCGAGCGCCAGGTAGGGACCAACAATTACCACATTTTAACGTATGTGTAAACTCTGTGTAGACTCGCGGCCGGGGATCGAACCCGCGACCTTCCGCTCTCCGGGCGGACGCTCTAACCACTACACCACGCTGACGGTCTCAACGCCAAGTAAATGATTACAAGGACTGTTATCATCGAAAATTAGAGTGAGTGAGTGAGTAGAGTTTTACGCTGCTTTTAGCAATATCCCAGCAACATCACGGCGGAGGACACCAGAAGTTAGCTTCACACATTGTACCCATGTGTGTCTTCGGCGTGACGAGCGAACGCCTTAACCACTAGGCTACCCCACTGCCCGTCTAAAATTAGAATGAAAAATAGTATTAATTGTTTAAAACACCCAATTAGAACAGTCAAACGGGGATTTATTACCCAAGCCTTGGTCAAAAGCAACCCTCAGTTAGCAAGCTTACATAAAATTTTAAATAATGTCAGCAATGTTAGTACATACTAAGTGAGTGAGTGAGTTTAGTTTTACGCCTCATTCAGTAGTATTCCAGCTATATGGCGGCGGTCTGTAAATGATCGAGTCTGGACCACACAATCCAGTGATCAACAGCATGAGCATCGATCTACGCTATTGGGATACGGTGGCATGTGTCAACCAAGTCAGCGAGCCTGACCACCCAATCCGGTTAGTCGCCTATTATGACAAGCATGGGTTACTGAAGATCAGTTCTAACCCGGATGTTCACGGGTAACATGCCAAGTGAGTGAGTTAAAATTCAACGTGACATCGGCAATATTCAAGCCATATAAAAATGTTTTACATTTACAATAAATTTTAATCGTTAAATAATCAGTCATCGAATCCAAGTACCTGGGGTTACTTTGATCATAGTGTTGTGAGGATGTGTGTTTGTTAATTATAATACCTTATTAATTAACAGTTAGTCATTATGGGTTACACAAGTTTAAAGCGCTGAGTGTGGATTTGAACTCGCATGTTGAACTTAGTCTATGTAATTTAACCTGTTAGCAGTAAGTTACTCACCCAATACTGTGTCACCACGGAAGAGACATATCAGCAGTTAAGACATTAGAATTGTGTTAACTTTATTCTTCTCATCAAGATCAAGTATGCTGACAACGGGTGAACGACTGCATAATAACATGAATTTATTTAGTCATTACATTGACAGCACGTACTTCTTTAACGTGGACAAAATAAAGCCATTTTAGGAACGCTTCAGTAAATATACTTTGAATAAGTGAAATGCTTACTGAATCAGCTGACAAACCGTATTTCAATTATATATTCTCGTTATATACACCTTTGATGTTTGTTTACACCATAAATCAATAAATTATGTCAACAAACAAATCACATTCACATGTACATGCAGTAAACCGAACATCATTGCATGACTGAATTCAGCTGAGTCACAGGTGGAGCACAGAAAACGACTGTTTTGATGGAAATATCACGTAATTATACCTTTATACCTTTATAAATAGTTAAGCATCAGTGATAACTTGGATATTATACTCACTCAATGGTCGGTATAAGTTTGGCCTAATTTAAGTGTGTAGAAAGGAAATTTTCTCCCGCTACATCCCCGAGACCATGCGGAAGCCTACATGATATTTCTATCTCCTGAGTAGGAGAGTTCCAACAGATAACACTGAAGAAATGAATCGTACGTAAAATCTCAATCTGAGACGACTAAATCAAATGTACTTAGACAAACACTTCCCCAGGAATCGAAACGTGTTTAACACACGAATAAGTTGTCTTCGCATTTATCTCACGGAACAGTTACAGATACAGATAGTTTCGTTATAGATAACGTGCATTACAGGGCAGGTTGACAAATTGCCCACGCACGCACGCACGCACGCACGCACGCACGCACGCACGCACGCACGCACACACGCACGCACGCACACACGCACACACACACACACTCTTTGTCCTGAAAGTTTTTTATACGACCATTAAACTCTCGTGAAAGTGTGGTGTGCACCACAGCCTTTCTAAAAAAACTGTATCCACCCCTGCTTTGTGAGGTTGTAGACGTTGACTATCCAAACAGCAGCTTTCAGTTTAAATGTTATTGTTTCTGTTTGCTGCACGTACTATCAGCACTTGATAAGTTGCGGGCGAGTCAGAGCTCCTTCCGCGTGCACTGTCATAGTCAAAGCATGTTCTAGATCACTATCTAAGCGTTAACCACTGGGGTGGTCTGTCACTGTAGCGATAATACACAAAGACATGCTTGTCGGACTAGATCACTGTCTAAGCGTTAACCACTGGGGTGGTCTGTCACTGTAGCGATAATACACAAAGACATGCTTGTTAGACTATATCACTGTCTAAATGTTGACAACTGGTTCACTGATTAAGATGTGTTTGTGTGTAGAGATATCGAGCTACTTGTTTTATTACCACTTTATCCGCTTTTACATTTAAGCGTTAGAGTTACCTCCCTTGTAAATTGTTCACACGGAACCTCCTTGACATAGGTGAGGTGAGGTGAAATTGGGTTTAACGTCGCACTTGAGAATATTTCGCTCATATGACGACGTGCATGCGTGTGTATGTGCGACTGCTTGTACTATAACAGACTGAAGCTGGATTTATACCCCACTGAGATACCATGCTGCAGTGAAGCATGAATACCCCACTCAGACACATTATACTGACGCCGAGCCGACCAGTCCTTGTTGTACCCATTAATGCCGAGCGCCAGGCAGGGACCAACAAGTACCATATTTTAACGTCTTGTGGTATGACGCGGTCGGGGATCGAACCCGCGACCTTCCGTACTCCTGGCGGACGCTCTAACCACTACACCACGGAGGCGGTTACTTGACATAGAAAAACACATGTCCGGCTCGGACAACCGTGTTGTGTGTAATGGTTTGGGACTCAAGATACAAAGGTCACAAAACACAGTATTTGTATGTTAAGGGGCGTGTAAGCATTTCCAACCTGTAAACTCAATAATTCTATGGGAAATATTTTTTTCGTTCAGTCCCGAACAGTGTTTGGTGCTCCCTCTGGCGAGGCACAACACACGTGTTTATGTCTGGACGTTTGAGCATACATCAGGTAGGTACATCAGTCGAACATGTCACGTGATGTGGGTTGTACAAATGCATTCATCCAGCCTACCAACAGAGAATGAAGAAGAACGACAGCAAACATGACACAAGCAGGAAGACAGCAGACATGACACAAGCAGAAAGACTGCAGACATGACACAAGCAGGAAGACTGCAGACATGACCATACGTTCCCGAATTATTTCAGGTGAACGCTTGGTTACTGAAGATCAATATTCTAACCCGGACTTTCACGGGTCTTTATACATTGTACCCATGTTGGGAATCAAACCCGGGTCTTCGGCATGAGGAGCGCACGCTTTGACCGCTAGTGCCACAGGATGCGCTCACCTTTTCGCTAACACTTGGTATCATAACTGTTTCACGGTGAATCATAAACACATGCTCTGTCATCGTATCGCATCGTAATAATCACTGGATTGTCTGGTCCAGACTAGATTTGTTTACAAACACATCGTACAGCTGTAACACTTTTGAAACAAATACATACTCATGATATAGTCAATCGTAAATCAAATCTGCTTTGGCAGAGATTTCTTATGACTGTGGAAATGGTTATGTCGTGTATATTAAAATAGTTAATTCAAGCATAGTCAAAACTTCTTAATGTACTACTGAACATATTTTAATTATGTTTCACTATTTAATAGATATAATTATGCACAGTAATATTTCCTTGTGGCCCGGTCAGCGGGAAATGAATCAACGGGAAGTATGATGTGATTGTGACAGACGGGTGCTGGATTTTTATCGACATGTACATCAACATTTCTCCCCCTTCCCCTCCACCACATATATATATATATTTCCTCGTGTATATTAATCAGTTATGCGCTGGGTCACGTATTTACTCGTCCGTGTCAGTTTCAGTCAACAGGATGATCGTCTCGGAGGTCATATGGATAGCATGCCTGGTAATGGCAGCTGAAGGTAGAATATTGCATTGTTACTTTGGCACATCATCTCGTCTTTTTAATTTTTATTTGTAATATTAGCATTTAACAGTTAAATGTTTTGATGTTAATAACGACTGGGCTGTCTTTCGAGTTGAGATCAAATTGTGGTTATCTTTGCGTGAATTTGTGCGTTTGGCCACTCCTACTAGGTGTGATGGATACCGCGGTACCATGCCATGCTGTTGTAACGTTGGTTACCCACACGGGCACAGTAGACTGAATCCAAACTTATCATTCCTTTCTCCCATCATGACAGGGCACCAGGCAAGGTAACATCAAGTATCCTCTTGTAACGTTTCGTGCTTGCGGCCTCACAAGGGGACAGAACTCTTGTTGTGTGGTCATTTTCTCTATTTCCACGGAGGCATTGACTGTCGTATGAATTTCGGATATTATCCAAACATGACGTACATCTGCTTCATTAAGGTACCAGAACGTGTCGAGAAACGCCGAATTGAAGTAAAATTGAAATGTCATTATGAATTCCTGTAAGTCACACAGTCTATGACCACACGCGTTGGCCAAAGTTGGCGTATATTTTGTTGAGGAAGCATAACATGTGTATAATTAAATATCCAACTTTCAAACAAAAATGAATATATACTAGTTTGCATTCACACAGATGCTACCATAAGCTTGTATGTTCATTTCAAAGCTTTATCTAGAATGGTCCTTCTTTTTGTAATAATTAGGTTTTGTGTTTTCTGTGTAATCTTTTCAAATGCAAAGACATCAATATTCAATGTCCAGGCGTAGTCAGACTTATACAATACAGGTAGGCATATACAGGTAGTCAGACTTACACAATACAGGTAGGCATATACATGTAGTCAGACTTACACAATACAGGTAGGCATATACAAGTAGTCAGACTTACACAATACAGGTAGGCATATACAGGTAGTCAGACTTACACAATACAGGTAGGCACAGGCGTAGTCAGACTTATACAATACAGGTAGGCACAGGTGTAGTCAGACTTACACAATACAGGTAGGCACAGGCGTAGTCAGACTTACACAATACAGGTAGGCATATACAGGTAGTCAGACTTATACAATACAGGTAGGTACAGGCGTAGTCAGACTTACACAATACAGGTAGGCATATACGGGTAGTCAGACTTACACAATACAGGTAGGCACAGGCGTAGTCAGACGTACACAATATAGGCATGCATATACGGGTAGTCAGACTTACACAATACAGGTAGGCATATACAGGTAGTCAGACTTACACAATACAGGTAGGCATATACAGGTAGTCAGATTTACACAATACAGGTAGGCATATACGGGTAGTCAGACTTATACAATACAGGTAGGCATATACGGGTAGTCAGACTTATACAATACAGGTAAGCACAGGCGTAGTCAGACTTACACAATACAGGTAGGCATATACAGGTAGTCAGACTTACACAATACAGGTAGGCATATACGGGTAGTCAGACTTATACAATACAGGTAGGCACAGGCGTAGTCAGACTTATACAATACAGGTAGGCATATACGGGTAGTCAGACTTACACAATACAGGTAGGCATATACGGGTAGTCAGACTTATACAATACAGGTAGGCACAGGCGTAGTCAGACTTATACAATACAGGTAGGCATATACGGGTAGTCAGACTTACACAATACAGGTAGGCATATACGGGTAGTCAGACTTATACAATACAGGTAGGCATATACGGGTAGTCAGACTTACACCATACAGGTAGGCGCCTTTAGTCTCGTTGAGCGAGTGAGTGAATATGGTTTTAACAATATTCCAGTAATATCCCTGGAATGGGCTTCACATGGGGACTCGAACCCATTGGCGAAAACATTGAGCTACCATTAGCCTCGTTTATTAAAAATCACATTCAGTGTCCATAAAATGTTGTTTTTTTAATCAACCAATAAATTCAATTTCAGCTGGTCCGTGTTTGGACAACCAGCACTGTTCTGACTGTGACAACACGACGGGACATTGCCTCACTGAGTGTGACACGGGGTACTTTGATCTGAAATGTTTCTCTGTGTGCGATGGTCATTGTAAAGGTAACCTGTGTAATCAATCTGCCGAGGGTAGTGGACGGTGCACCGAGGGTTGTGAGCCAGGATATCAAGGCCAGAGATGCAACATACCATGTGACAGTCCAGTAGGTAGCTGTACAGCATGTCCAGGTAGTTGTGATGGAGGATATTGTCAGCTGGGGTCATCCTGTGTGTCTGGATGTATAGACGCCCATTATGGCACAGATTGTGAATCAGGTTGGTATTGCCATGAGACAAGGTAAATGTCATTACTCGCCTTACCACATCACTATTTAGTCCTGGGAACAACTTACTGACCCGGTGACAGGAATCAACACGGAGGGAAACCCAGCAACTTTGTCTAATAGGTGCATTTTGTTTAGGCGGACTATACAAGTTGATAATTCGGTATGATCAATTGTCTTTTATTGGGTGTTCAGAAGTTAAACCTTTCGTCTGTCAGGCCGTACTGTGGGACTCTGTTGGATTGTCATATAATACAAGTTGACAATTCGGCATGATTGCAGTAACTTGGTTAACCTTCTTCGCTGTCAGCTGGTGCAGTAGGACTGTCTGTGGGAGTGTCCACGGCAGTGTTCAGTTTCATCCTAATGATCGTCTTGGTTGTGTACTGCAAGTATTGGCGACGCGTGAGACAACAGCACAGGTGAGTCAGTGAGTGGTTGAATGGTTGAATGTGTGATGACAGGGTTGAGTGTCTGTTTGAGTGCATTGCTTAATAAGTACTTATGTGAGTGGTTGAGTCAGCGACTGAGTGAGTGAGTGGTTGGGTGAGTGAGTGAGCAATATATGTCATAAGTATTTCCCATGATACCTTCGTCGTACAAAATGACTAGTTTCTGAGTTAGGTTTGTAATCATTCCCTGTGACGGAATCCCGACATTCCCTGTGACGGAATCCCAACATTTCTAACAGAGCGAGTCAGTACATCATGCACTACTGTAGTATTTACAGGTCTCTGTGATACAGCAAACATATTACTGACTAGTGCATAAAGACAAAACATATATTTAAACCGTTATGATATCGTGTCTCATGTCGCTTAGTGGGTCAGTCTCTTGGTTTAGCGTTCTGTTGTCACAACGAAGAGACCTAAGTCAGACTATCAACAATGTGCAAAGCTAATTTCTGTTGCTGGAATATTGCTAAAACACAACTCCCTTCAATGTTATCTTTAATTTGCTGGACAGAATAGTCATTTGATTGAGAATAGTATGGATGCTCTACGATTGGGCGAAAAACTGTAAAGAATGTAAACGATTAGAGGTGAGGTGAAATTGGGTTTAACGTCGTGCTTGGTATATTTCGCTCATATGACGACATGCATGCGTGTGTATGTGTGGTTGCTTGTACTAGCCAAGACTGAAGCTGGGTTTATAGTGAGGATACCATACCATAGCGAAGCATATAAATACCCCACTCAGACACATTATACTGACTCCGAACCGACCAGTCCTTGTTGTACCCATTATTGCCGAGCGCCAGGCAGGGACCAACAAGTACTATATTTTAACGTCTTTTGGTAAGACACGGTCGGGGATCGAACCCACGACCTTCCGCTCTCCGGGCGGACGCTCTAACCACTACACCACGGAGGCGGTGTGAACGATTAGATGAAATTACTAGCACTTCATCTGTACAATGCAATGCATTATTTCCGTTTGCTGTGTTAGGGACCCGAACCCAGTCAACAGTGTTAAGCCCCTGTCACATTTTTGCGTATATCAGGTGCTTATTAGTTCGTTTTATAAAGATTTTAATACGCAGCCCGACGGTCAATATTACGAAATGTTTCTATTACTTTGACTTATGTGTGATCCACATCAAGGGTATAAATAACGAATTCAGCGCATCCATTGTATATCAGGTGCGTATGATTTGCGTAACACTATTTTTTCTTGCAGCATAAAATACTAGTGGAAAAAAAGTAACTCTGCATAACATAAAATTGCATAAAATAAATTTATTTGAAAATAAACATGTAGCAAAACACCTTGCACGGAATGTTATGTTACGTATCACGCGTGGCACGTGCACTGTGTGCACAATGAACTTTTTGCATGCTTTTTTGACACCTGAAGTTCACACACCTGATATTGAAAATTGAAGAACGATTGATTATTCTCTAACCCTTGAATTTTGTGGAAAACATGTTAAGTTCAGCCTAAACTGCGTGTACGCCATGCCTCGGCTTACAGAAAATTAGCGTCAGCGTGGGTATGCTGGAGACTGGAATGGCCCAAAAAGAAATGGCCAGAGATTTTGGTGTCCATCGAAACACGATCTCATCTCTATGGAAACGTTTTCAACATTTGGCAACACGAGAGATTTGCATCGGACCGGGCATCCACGCTTGACGCCGACAACTTGTCATTGTCTGTGGCAATCTGACTGCGATAAAGAGATGGGATTGTTGGACCTCAGGTGCAGCCGTTCATTCAAGGACAGAGACGCTTCGGCAAGATACTGCCCGTCTACGTTTGGTTTGTGTTGTGACAGGAGGACATTCCTATACTCCCCTTGCCAGCTGTTTCTCCGGACCCCGTTGCCTAGTGAGCATGTTTGGGATGAAATGGAGCGACGTTTACGTCAAACCCAGAATCAGCCACTGACAAACTGAATTGGAACAAGTGTTGGTTCAGACACGGAACATCATTCCCCAAACTTTCTTCAATCGCTTCGTGTTGTCTATGCGTCTTTGTTGTCTATGCGTCTTTGTTGTCAACACGAGTGGATGCTGAATGTATTAACTGAATTTTGACACATCTCTTCAAGGGCGTGGCACGATGCCTGGACTCAAATCATACAGATTTCGACCTTATCCTGTCAACAGTTAAACAGTGAAAAAAACACACACAACAAATCATGTTTTTATCTGCCTGTCAAGCGTATTTCGGACGCACCTAACTTATGACGAACCTAATTAATGTCGGTTTATTATAACGGCGGCTGCCAGATTGCAGACAAGCGGTACTGAATAGTGCAATACGTTGGCATTCGCAAGGAGTTCGTTCAGCGTCCATTGTATCTGCGCTGCAAGTACGCTATGTATTCGTCCAATATACGCGGCTCATATCTCGTGCCGGGCGTATTTCCGCGTAGGAACCGCTTATCCCCCACGAACACATAGCAGATACGTACTGCGCTCGACCGACCGACCGATGCACTATGTATTTATAACTTGTGACCTGCGTAACAGCGTACGCAGCATAATTTTGTACATGCTCAAAACTATCACGCCTGCTGGGCAGTAATCTGCGCATGCCGGCGTACGTAAAACGTACACAAAACGATTGAGATGCACAAGAGCTGCGTATTGTGAGTACGAGTGCGTATAAAAAAAATGTCAATGCGCAACTCATAAGGAATAAAGATATGCAGAAGTGAAAAAGTGTGACAGGGCTCTCACTTCATAACAACAATTGTTGATTCTCTCCTACACTTAAACCAATCCCTTCACTCTTCCAAACGACTGGGTCGGTGTGGTAGGATAGTGGTTCAAACGTTCGCTCGGCACGTCGAAGAATCGGTTTCGATTCCACACATGGGTACACTGCGTCAAGTGTATTTCTGGTGTCTCGTGCAGTGATATAGCTGGCATATTGCTAAAAGCGGCGTCTTACTGTGTCACTGTGAACGAGGAGTTGGACTATAACTCTATAAAACAAAAGAAATGAAGTAAATATACTGGTGAGCAAAAGTACACACTAGGGCCCTTATTCCCGAAACGTTCGTAGCCCTAAGAATTCTTAACTTTTATCGTAGCCAATGCGTTGAGAATGGGCTTACGAAGTTCGTAGGGCTACGAACGTTCGAGAATAGCTAGACTGGTGTTTTGAGACTATTAAGACAACGTAAATATTTTGCTTTCAATGTTCCATTTGAGTACGATATCTATGGTGTTATTGCAACACGTACACAATGTTTGTGACTTGTGAGTCGCAATCAAAACACTCATCTAAATATTACGCTGTTTTCAGGAAACCATTTTACCAAAGCATCAGGTGTGTACTTTCTTTAGTACGTCAGTTTATGTCACCAGATGTCCACGGTTGATTCTACACAGGACAAGTGGTGTGATGTGATAATGTTGCCGGTTGATTCTACACAGGACAAGTGGTGTGATGTGATAATGTTGCCGGTTGATTCTACACGGGACAAGTGGTGTGATGTGATAATGTTGCCTCTTTACTTGGACGATTATCTTCTCTTTTTGTTTGACAAAACTGCTCACGCTTTCTAACAAACCAGAAATAATCAGATATGTGATGAACCTATATATTTTTAAACCTAAATTTTGACTGTGATGTGGTCAACGTGGGTCCTGTGCTAAAGATATCAATTTTCATTGTTCTTACCTCACAGTGCCCCCCAGACAGAGGACCCTGTACCCCCCAGGGCTGCCGAGATGGACGATACCTCTGTACAGGAGCTGGAGTGGTACACCGACATACAGCTGACGGACATGACCGTGGCTTCTGAGTCACCTGGGAACTACAGAGGTGGGGGTGAAGCTGCTGGAGTGGAAGATGACGTTTACGACGTCGCGGATGGAGGCAGGCTTCAATGTGTTGTTGTTGGCGACATATACTCTAAATTATCACATACCCAGTGAGCACAAACTTCGAAAAGGTCTCACTCTGCCCAATGCTACAGAGTCTTGTCTTTGCGCAGTTTCCAGTTTGATCCAACGGTTCCTTGTCAAGTGAGCGAATGTATGACCGCGAGAGGTCAGTCATAGAATCTCTGGCTGTGCCATCGCCAAATGGGTTAAAGTATGTTACTCTGAATGAAACTCGGCATGAATCACCTGCATAATTTCTCTGTGGGTGAGAGAGTGAGTGAGTTTAGCTTTACGCCACACTCAGCAATATTCCAGCTATATGGCGGCGGTGTGTAAATAATCGAGTCTGGACCAGACAATCCAGTGATCAACTACTCTGTGGGCTATTCATTCAGAAACGTGTCACGGTGACGTCATTCTGTAACCTCGCAAAATGGAAACAACACAAGTATTGATATATGTATCCCGTCACTGAAAGGCATCGCTTAACTCTATCTCACCAATTTTGATCTGATGTACATTCCAAAATCAAAATATGTGTGACCTTTGTAAAAAAATGTAAACAAACAATGTATTTCTGTTTTGCTTAAACAATGCCAGTGACAGTTCGTTAAGACAATCTTTGAATCGACACTTCATTTTAATTGTCTCTGCTTCATTACGGAGGGAGATTGCAAATAACTATACTTTAAGAAAAAATAGGGGAACCTGAACTTTCAGTTTGGATAGGAACGATAAGTGTTAACATTTCTTTGACAGACAGACATCTTTTGAACGCATCACCATTTTTCTTTATCACTGCCCTTAGATACAACGCATGGGATGCACGTGCACAACGCAATAGCTCCACACACGGGTATGGGGCGTCATTCTTGATGTTGACCGTGATTACTGTACAAATAGCTCCACACACGTGCATGGGGCGTCATTCTTGATGTTGACCGTGATTACTGTACAGACAACTATAGTCATAAGGAAGTGCAAGTGACGATGCACTAAATTAAAAATGAAGTTCCCGTACTTGCTTTGATAAATGGATAACAGATGATGATGTTGTGCAGTTGTGTTTGAATGGCAAGTTTGTTCGACAACAGCACAGCATGCATATTGCTTTACCTTGTCAAGGTTCTGATGCCAAATCCATGGTAACAAAAATATACAAAAGAAACCGAAATTCAAAACAAATTAAGCTGTAATGGTTTGATCGAGTCACACTATGACCTTGCGAGAGATATTTGTATCTTAAAGCTCAAACACTTGGGAATAGGCAGAACTACCAATGTGCACAGCACAGACCTGAATATATGAACATGAGCCGTCAAGCCTAATCATATACTAATCAAAACGACGATAAAGTAGTACTTGTCAACTTAAGGTGCTTTATGTCGATCGTTTTGCCTAACTAGACTGGCGATAAGGTTGTTATTGCGAGCTAAAGTTACTGTCCTGACAGAATTACGTAATATATTTTTATAAGGGTTCTGGATGAGGTTCACTATACAATACATATCTGTTCGGCTTGTACGCCACTGTTATAGCTGGTACATGTGATTTGAGTGGATCATAAACACAGATAAATACACTGAACCTTGGATCTGTTACCTTAACTCTGTATGAACAGCCAACATGCATACATATGTGCAACGCTCTTTATCAATTTGATCCTAAGATAGTGGCCTAAGATAGTTTAACGCGGGAGATTAGTCTGTTATATTTCCATTTCCAATCGCAAAGAAGGTGAAAGTGTTTAGAAAACTTTGTTCATATTTGGATGGAGTTAAAGTTACTGTGCTTGTTTCTTTGTGAAATATTAACACTGATTATTAATTCAATCACGTCGGTGGTCTGTAGATGATGACGTCGGAACAAAACAATCAGGTATTGCACCATGAACATAGTTGTCTTCACTAAAGGGATAGTTCACAAAACAACGATGATGTTATTTATTGGATGTACTCGGCGCCTTGACCTCCCCTCCAGTCTATACACCCAGCACTAGCAGAGCAACAATCAGGATGTTGATAGATGTAGTCCCAGCAGTGACCCTCCAGCCTATACACCCAGCCCCAGCAGAGCAACAATCAGGATGTTGATAGTTGTAGTCCCAGCTCTAAGGATACCATCACCTCCATTTTCACAAGACGGCGTGGTCTTCGTATCCAAACTGTGTAGATAGTTCTTGATCCAGACTTGATTATTTACAGACCACCACCATATAGCTGGAAAGTTACTATGTGTGGCGATAAACAACAAAGAATATATCATCATGAACATTAGTGGGATACTTAACACAACAACGACAATGTTAGCTGTTGTATGTAGAAACAGTGATGGAATTACGTAGCGTCTTGACCTCCCCTCCAGCCTATACACCCAGCACTAGCAGAGCAACAATCAGGATGTAGATGGTTGTAGTCCCAGCAGTGACCATCCAGCCTATACACCCAGCACTAGCAGAGCAACAATCAGGACGTTGATAGTTGTAGTCCCAGCAGTGACCCTCCAGCCTATACACCCAGCCCCAGCAGAGCAACAATCAGGATGTTGATAGTTGTAGTCCCAGCTCTAAGGATACCATCACCTCCATTTTCACAAGACGGCGTGGTCTTCGTATCCAAACTGTGTAGATAGTTCTTGATCCAGACTTGATTATTTACAGACCGCCGCCATATAGCTGGGAAGTTACTGTGAGTGGCGTTAAACAACAAAGAATATATCATCATGAACATTAGTGGGATACTTAACACAACAACGACAATGTTAGCTGTTGTATGTAGAAACAGTGATGGAATTACGTAGCGGACCTTAGAAAGTGGACCTTAGAAAATCCACCCCACCAGAAGTTGGAGCATTAAGGCTTATGTTCCTGGACTAGTGCTTCACCAGTCTAACTCACTGTACTGTGGGCAACATATGGATGGACCATGTGTTGACTCATGACATACTTTTCTCAAATGTAAGAATGTAATATTGGCGAGGTAAAGAGGTACGGTTCCCTCCAAAGCATTTGTTCCCGTCCGTATGTCAGGTTGACATATCTCATGATTAGGTGAAAGGCCTTTGTCACAAGCACCTTTTCGATAAAGATATGTTTGCAGAACAATCGTCCTCTTCCCTCTACGGGGTTAGCCTGTCCTACGAATAATACACCCTAGGCACCTCACCTCACTGTGTGAAGGTACTCACAAAATATCCTTAATCCCTTCACTATTATACAGTTTGATAACACCCATCTGGGTTCCATACAGGCCTACAATGACAACACCCCTTGAGCATCCATTTACCTGATTGGAGATGCAAGGAGGTTTTTCGCTGTTGTAGTTTGGTGCGTGTTACTGGCAGGTCCATGGCATTCAATAAATATACCAACCTACCTTAGCCGTGACACCTCGAAGCCTCCGCAACCGTTTGTTGTTGTCAGTTTTGACCAGACGAGTCTCTGGAAGGTTATCTCGAGCAGGTTGTAAGTCCTCAGATAAGAGCTAGACGCGGGCGACTTGTATCTTATGCATTTGCCCAGCGATGACATAAAATGTTTCAGAACATATGGTGCATGCACACAACACTGTTCCTTCGAATTGGGAAGGGAGCACTTGACATTGTACTGTGATAAATCTTGACATTCGTGTGTGTACAGATATGTTATAGGACTTGAGTGTGTAGTGTCTGCTAGATGTGTTACCTGTTGTAATCAATGCCTCTTGTGACTGTATGATATGGCTGTCTCAAAACAAAAAAATATTAATTATCCATTCATGTAGCGTGGGTCTTTACTGATTTCTGGAGGAATCAACACGTTTCTGATACACTTCTAAAATACTGTGATTGTTGTCCTTAATTATCTACAAGTAATTTTTTCCCTGATATGGCCAAATAACAGAGGGACCTTAACTTGATAACTCAATAATTCACAGTTTCTGCTCGAGTAACAGGAATATTGCGGAGTTAAAAACAAAATAAACAGGTAAACAGATGCTAGTAAAAGAAGGGTGAAAGACATGTCAGTGAAGGATTTACTACATTTCTTTTGGACACAAAATAAACACAAACCTAATTAAGAGCGGGTGGGGTGGGGTCGGGGTGGGGTCGGGGTGGTTGTACACTTCGTGTTCACCCGTTTTCAATGGTCATTTAATAATCATTCAGGAAAATAGGGGGGTGCACACCAGCCTATGACGGGATCGAGTAGTCAGACTCGCTGGCTTTCCTTCGTATCCCGTGTGTAGGTCATACTTGATCTAGACTTTTGATTATTTACAGACCGACGCCATATAACTAGAATGTTACTCTGTGTGGCGTCAAACAGCAAAGAATATATCAACGCGTATATGTTGCGACTGGGGAACTAGCGCGGAATCAAGACGTACAATACGTTCACGAAGACGAAGGATAGATTCAGTTCAAACTTCTTTAGTTGTTTACACAAGACATGACATAAACAAATATACATGGATGAGGTGAGCGGAGTTCCAGCTCAGCCCCGGGGCGTTTCCAACGAGCGGCATTATCCTGCTCGCAGTCGTCCCTACACAGACAGTCAGAATACCGGACTGCTTGACAATATAGATGTGAGCATATATACAGATTTTGACAACACTGGACAGGCGAAGACTCAACAACGGACAGATAGAGAAACAATAGCACTCCCTTGGACCAGTTGATGTGATGGTAGACACGTCCAAGGGGGATGGCCAATTAGGCTATAAATGTCATATACAGTATTTAATGAAAGTGAGAGAGTGGTACAAGGTGACCGTCAACACAATGTACTTTGCGGTAATGATAAGGATTAAGAATGCAGATTAAATAATTACAATTAAGTCTCACATGGCTTGGGTACATAGTTTTTGGTCTTAAGAAGTATTTGGACAATGGATGTCCTGAATTAGACGCTATAACAACTATATCATTCCACATGATGCCGTCTGGACAAGACAATCCAGATATGTCATCGTGGACATTAGTGGGATAGTTAACACGACAACGACAATGTTAGCTATAGAGTGCAGAATCAGTGTTGAAATTAAACAGCGCCTGAATCTCCCCTCCAGACTACACACCGAGCACTAGCAGAGCAACAATCAGGATGTAGATGCCATTAGTCCCAGCTATAAGGATACCATCACATCCATTTTCACAAGACGGCGTGGCACAAAACTGAGGCACACATTTGTTACTCCAGGTACAGTGTTTGTTTTTCTTGTAGCAGCAGTCGACTGGGCAGTTGTCTGTAGTTTCTCCGACATCACACTTTCCGTTGTAGCAGGTGTCTGGCATCCTTGACCCATCTCCTACTGCGAGGTTCAAACCCTTCAGTCGGTACCGCTCCTCGCAGTAGTCTGTGAAGCACTTTGTGAACACCCAGCATGTTCCTACAACATCCAGTGAAGGCCATGGCTCGCATTTCTTAGCAACCTGTGTCTGTCCGTCACATCCTCCACAACGGTAGGATTCGTGTTGTTTACCGTTCCCGCCGTCGAACCCACCGGGCTTACAGTAGGATTCTTTAGATGCTCGTTGATAGGTACGACCATCGCAATAGGGATGAGGACCTTCATCCAGGTTATTGCAGCAGGTGTAAAAGTGCAGCTTAGAAATTCCACCCAGCCAGAAGTTGGAACACTCTCCTTGAGGTGGTTGATCTCCAGGCCTCCTCTTCACCCGCACATTGAGAGCAGTTGCGTGGACGCTGACCAGCACCATGAGAACTAGGACCGCCAGTACGACCATTGCTATTTGGGGGGGGATACAGCAGTGTTGTGATCTGAAGGATAACACTGTACAAGTTACTATTTTGATATAGTCATGTTGTGATCTGAAGGATAACTCTGTACAAGTTACTATTATTATATAGTCATGTTATGATCTGAAGGATAACACTGTACAGGTTACTATTATTATATAGTCATGTTGTGATCAGAAGGATAACACTGTACAAGTTACTATTATTATATAGTAATGTTGTGATCTGAAGGATAACACTGTACAAGTTAGTATTATTATATAGTCATGTTATAATCTGAAGGATAACACTGTACAAGTTACTATTATTATATAGTCATGTTGTGATCTGAAGGATAACTCTGTACAAGTTACTATTATTATATAGTCATGTTGTGATCTGAAGGATAACACTGTACAAGTTACTATTATTATATAGTCATGTTATGATCTGAAGGATAACACTGTACAAGTTACTATTATTATATAGTCATGTTGTGATCTCAGAAGGATAACACTGTACAAGTTACTATTATTATATAGTCATGTTGTGATCTGAAGGATAACACTGTACAAGTTACTATTATTATATAGTCATGTTGTGATCTGAAGGATAACACTGTACAAGTTACTATTATTATATAGTCATGTTATAATCTGAAGGATAACACTGTACAAGTTAGTATTATTATATAGCCATGTTGTGATCTGAAGGATAACACTGTACAAGTTACTATTATTATATAGTCATGTTGTGATCTGAAGGATAACACTGTACAAGTTACTATTATTATATAGTCATGTTATAATCTGAAGGATAACACTGTACAAGTTACTATTATTATATAGTCATGTTGTGATCTGAAGGATAACTCTGTACAAGTTACTATTATTATATAGTCATGTTGTGATCTGAAGGATAACACTGTACAAGTTAGTATTATTATATAGTCATGTTATAATCTGAAGGATAACACTGTACAAGTTACTATTATTATATAGTCATGTTGTGATCTGAAGGATAACTCTGTACAAGTTACTATTATTATATAGTCATGTTATGATCTGAAGGATAACACTGTACAGGTTACTATTATTATATAGTCATGTTGTGATCAGAAGGATAACACTGTACAAGTAACTATTATTATATAGTAATGTTGTGATCTGAAGGATAACACTGTACAAGTTACTATTATTATATAGTCATGTTATAATCTGAAGGATAACACTGTACAAGTTAGTATTATTATATAGCCATGTTGTGATCTGAAGGATAACTCTGTACAAGTTACTATTATTATATAGTCATGTTATAATCTGAAGGATAACACTGTACAAGTTACTATTATTATATAGTAATGTTATGATCTTAAGGATAACACTGTACAAGTTACTATTATTATATAGTCATGTTGTGATCAGAAGGATAACACTGTACAAGTTAGTATTATTATATAGTCATGTTGTGATCAGAAGGATAACACTGTACAAGTTACTATTATTATATAGTCATGTTATGATCTGAAGGATAACACTGTACAAGTTACTATTATTATATAGTCATGTTGTGATCTGAAGGATAACACTGTACAAGTTACTATTATTATATAGTCATGTTGTGATCTGAAGGATAACACTGTACAAGTTACTATTATTATACTGTCATGTTGTGATCTGAAGGATAACACTGTACAATCTACTATTATTATATAGTCATGTTATGATCTGAAGGATAACACTGTACAAGTTACTATTATTATACAGTCATGTTGTGATCTGAAGGATAACACTGTACAAGTTACTATTATTATATAGTCATGTTGTGATCTGAAAGATAACACTGTACAAGTTACTATTATTATATAGTCATGTTATGATCTGAAGGATAACACTGTACAAGTTACTATTATTATATAGTCATGTTGTGATCAGAAGGATAACACTGTACAAGTTACTATTATTATATAGTCATGTTGTGATCAGAAGGATAACACTGTACAAGTTAGTATTATTATATAGTCATGTTATGATCTGAAGGATAACACTGTACAAGTTACTATTATTATATAGTCATGTTGTGATCAGAAGGATAACACTGTACAAGTTACTATTATTATATAGTCATGTTGTGATCTGAAGGATAACACTGTACAAGTTACTATTATTATATAGTCATGTTATAATCTGAAGGATAACACTGTACAAGTTAGTATTATTATATAGCCATGTTGTGATCTGAAGGATAACACTGTACAAGTTACTATTATTATATAGTCATGTTATGATCTGAAGGATAACACTGTACAAGTTAGTATTATTATATAGTCATGTTATAATCTGAAGGATAACACTGTACAAGTTACTATTATTATATAGTCATGTTGTGATCTGAAGGATAACTCTGTACAAGTTACTATTATTATATAGTCATGTTGTGATCTGAAGGATAACACTGTACAAGTAACTATTATTATATAGTAATGTTGTGATCTGAAGGATAACACTGTGCAAGTTAGTATTATTATATAGTCATGTTATAATCTGAAGGATAACACTGTACAAGTTACTATTATTATATAGTCATGTTATAATCTGAAGGATAACACTGTACAAGTTACTATTATTATATAGTCATGTTATAATCTGAAGGATAACACTGTACAAGTTACTATTATTATATAGTCATGTTATGATCTGAAGGATAACACTGTACAGGTTACTATTATTATATAGTCATGTTGTGATCAGAAGGATAACACTGTACAAGTTACTATTATTATATAGTAATGTTGTGATCTGAAGGATAACACTGTGCAAGTTAGTATTATTATATAGTCATGTTATAATCTGAAGGATAACACTGTACAAGTTAGTATTATTATATAGCCATGTTGTGATCTGAAGGATAACACTGTAAAAGTTACTATTGTTATATAGTCATGTTATAATCTGAAGGATAACACTGTACAAGTTACTATTATTATATAGTAATGTTATGATCTCAAGGATAACACTGTACAAGTTACTATTATTATATAGTCATGTTGTGATCAGAAGGATAACACTGTACAAGTTACTATTATTATATAGTCATGTTGTGATCTGAAGGATAACACTGTAAAAGTTACTATTATTATATAGTCATGTTGTGATCTGAAGGATAACACTGTGCAAGTTACTATTATTATATAGTCATGTTGTGATCTGAAGTATAACACTGTACAAGTTACTATTATTATATAGTCATGTTATAATCTGAAGGATAACACTGTGCAAGTTACTATTATTATATAGTCATGTTATAATCTGAAGGATAACACTGTACAAGTTACTATTATTATACAGTCATGTTGTACTACTGGCGTAGCGAGACATTTAGGAATGTAATAAACGTGACGAAAACACCCAAATTGTTTCCAGTGCGTACCATTAGTTCTGCCAGACAACCTGGTATTTAGAACATCTGAAAGCTATTGAATGATCTCCGATATATATATTTTGACTAATGTATTTTTCTTTAGCTTATCTCTCACATAAATGTTGTTTTCTAATTGGATGTGCGCCCTTCTGTTATTTTAATTGTACCCCGCTTACAACATTTACTTTGTTACTCGCTGGGAATGCCGAACTGAGGGAATTCATTTGGTGCTTCGTGTTACAAATTCTTTATCTCGAATATTTGAGTCACATATGATGTACTGAAATTACCGATGTTTGCAAAAGCAAATCGATGGATGGGAGATAGCTCTCTCTCTATATATATTTGTTTTTCTTGTCTGTCGTTGTCGGTGTTGGTTAATTACCTAACTCTGCTTAATATGATCCGATACGTTTAAGACAGCCCTGTGGTCCGTTGCTGGACGACCTTTAGCGCTATGTGTGCTAAAGGTGCTGTCAGGCCTCGATTTGGGGAATTAGCTATAGGGAGCAAGCCTTGAAACCTTGAAACAAGAAAGGAGCCAGAGCTATGAGATCCAGGGTTTATTCAAGCAAGTGTCTTGCATGACATTCAATATACATCAGTTCATACATAATAATGACATACAATAATAGAAATAGTAATCAATGATATCCTAATACAGTTTATATCTAAGTCCGGTAATATAAGCCATGTGTGGTACAACAGGGTATGTACGGTAACTGCTTACAGAAACATAATACAAATAATACAACATTTTCTTGAGTAACTACGGTACTGATAAATAACATAACCTGACGGATAAATTAATCATCAACAACAATTGCAAAGAACAAGTACTGAGTGGAGCGCCCAACAGTTTAATTACAGCATGTAGTGCCTAGTCCATTAACTGTTGTGCGGATTTATGACTATTACGTTATGTCGCGCCTAATGCGTTAACTACGGTACCGATTTATGACAATTACGGTATGTAGTGCCTATTGCGTTAACTACGGTAGGAATTTATGACTATTACGGTATGTTGCGCTTAGTGTATTGACTACGGTAGGAATTTACTATTATTACGGTATGTCGCGCTTAATGCATTAGCTACGGTAACGATTTATGACTTGTGTAAGTAATTTCCGTTATCAACAAACATGCCTTGAGCAAATACGGTAAACGGCGCGAAGTGCTCAGATTTGACATATACCATTTAACTCCGGTATTGACTGTACGCATTCTAACTGTAATGTTAACATTTATTTTCTCAATACAATAATTTCGGTAGATACGGTAAGTGGAACTAGAGAGTGATATAAATATGTGTAACTACGGGGACAGACGATATAGTTTTAGCTAGAGTACTACTACTTAAGCTTCCCATCCTGAATTATTTGGGTGACTACGGTAAATGTATTTCGACGGTGATGTTGCTATTGGCAACGTGTAATTTCGACATATACGGAGTTAAGCCATGACCTAGAATATATGTAATGCTGTAGTGCTACATTTTGTGCTTTACAAAACAAGACAGTAACTTAGTTAAATGAATATGTAATAATGTACTAGGACGGCGCTGTTGTCATTGGCTACGCGTATTTCTTAAATTACGGAGCTAAACAAATACGGAACGA